AAATGATTTTATCTGTAGCTTATACATACAACAAATGTGGTTACAAAGCTTTTTTTCACAGGTCACAGCACTAACACTAAAGCCAGTGCTGCCAGGAGGACGCATGCCATGAGAAACCAACCAGCTGGCAATCATGTGAGGAATTAAAGGACAAGAAGGTCTCGAGGCCATAGTAGATTAAAGCGACTTGTTAGGTTCTCGGAATGGGAATGTTGAGGTCGTTGTGGTAGTGACGTAGTAAGGAGCTTTGAATTTGATTGGAAGGATTGGATGCTGGATGGCCTGGCACAACCTCACAGTTCGACTAGGTATGTCCAATGTGGTTGTAGTAATGCCTCGTATAACGTTAGTTTTGTGTTGATGCTTAGAACGGATTTCGGTCCTAGAAGTCTTCGTAGATGTCCCAGTCTCAAGCCGTTGTCTCGGGGCTCGATGTCAGTCTGCTGTCTAGTTAAGTCCTAAGTATGTGACTTGAATGGAAGTCGATATCTCTTTGTAGATGTGCAGTAGATAAGACAGTTTTTTTGTTTTGTTTTTTTCAATTAGAATGTACACTAACAAAGAGTACATTTTTCTTCGTTGAGACATGTCATGTTTTTCACCAGTCTTCGAAAAAATCAAGGTGTTTTTAGATGTTGAAGGTAGTTTGGGATAGGATTCGAGTTAGAGGACAAATTAATCATATAAAGAATGGGGCCAAGAATGCTCCCTTGTGGGACGTCTGCTTGAATCTGTCTGACTTCCGAGAACTCGGTGCCACTTCACCATGAAACAACAGTTGTTAGAAAGTAGTTTAGGATAAGGTAATAAGGAGTGGGAAGGGTTAAAATTTGGCCCGGGTGTCTGACCCTAGCAAAAGCCTGGCTACATCTAAGAACGCAACCAATCAATACTCTTTATTCTCTAGAGCAGAAGAGATAGTGTCGACAACTCTGAAACATTGTTGAATGTTGGAATGATGAGGACGGGAATTGGTGGGTTAGGAATGATTTTACGAATATCTAGGATGGATATTAAGCGTTTTAAAAAGAGTCTATCAAGGATTTTAGACGTTGAAGGAAGAAGCCAGATGGGACTGTAAAAGAGGATATGTGGTCGGGAGGTTAGTGAGCTTTAGAAATGGGAATAACGACGGAATATTTACGATTGTATTTCTTGAAAAAAACCACCCACCCAAATCTAATCAAACTTGAAACAAATATTCTACCGAAGACTACCATATTAAATTTATTAGGTTGGACTTTATCAAGTTGATATTTTTCGTGTCTCCTTTTAGGATCGCCATCACCAAAAGATCCAGTGTCCGGATCTCGTCAGGCAGATTGGATGTTATCTTTGTGTGACGAGAAGATAAATATTAAGATAAAGTTTCTTCTTCTTTTTGTACAAAATTATCTTGATACTCAACTATGTGCTTTCCTAAGCTAAATTTAAAAAAAAATTAATCAGCACATTTGAGCCTATCTTAAAATGTCATAGCCGCCTAAATCCTGGATCCCGATTCGTCAAAAATTAGACAGACGCTCTAATAGTTTTAAAAAAAATCAATTTTAACAAAGAATTCGATTTATATTTTTCAGGTCGTTTTTAAAAGAAAGAAAAATAAATAAATAAAAAGATTCTCTAATGCTATTAAGATCGCCATTATTTATAAAAAGAAATCATTGTTCATTCTTGTAACATAAATATATGATAAGATCAATCAATTTTTTATATATATATTTTTTTTATGCATCTATAGATAAAATGTTTCATATCGCATTTTTAACCCGTCCAGAAATTAAAATTCCTTCGAGTTAAAAGATTTCGAAACCAATTGATCCTCGGCCGGAGTAAACTATTCAAAAAAGCATTTTCGGAATATCATGAGGTGGGCACGCTGTAATAAATATATTTTGCATTGGTTATAAGATCGGTGGCGGCTCATGTTGCAAAATAGGAGTGGGTCGAACATCTATAAATTATTTGTAAATGAAAACAAGAGTTACAAATGATTTCAAAAGCAAGTTCTAATTTAAATTAGCAAAGGGCTTTTCGGGCAATAGGTAAAATTACTCGCCCAGAGAAATCGTAAACAATTTTGAGCTGGAATCCATGTGCAAGTCGAACAAAAATTTACTTTTACTCAGGCTTTCGGATATAATAAATGTTCCGAATGATATTCGGGCTAGAAATTAGGCAAAAGCGACAAAATCTCTTTTGAAAAGGATACGGGATTTTGTTTCACTCTTTTTGTTCATAAATCATTCAAACCCTTAAGAAAAGAAAAATGTTTATCATACAATTCCCCACACACCAATTAAATCAATCAATGAAGGAATTTATGTACAAAGAATCAGTCTTCAGAGTTTAAAATTAACTATTTAAAAAAACATAATATGTTTAACGTAAATTTTTTACTGCAAAATGTAAATTATCTCATCGGTGGGGCGGGGCAGTTATAATACTCTCCCAAAATTTGAATTTTCAAATTTAATTGATGACTAAATTCATGAGCTAATGAAGTCAATGAACTAGACGTTTGGAATATAGAATTAAGTATTTACCAAATTAAAATGTTTATTGTAAATTTTTGATTGCAAAATTTACATTATTTCATCGGTTGGGGGGAGGGCAGTTTTAATACTTTTCCAAAATTTGAATTTTCAAAGTGAATCTATGAATAAATTTATGAACTAATAAAGTCAACGAATCAGTCGTTCCTAGTTTAGAATTAAATATTTAAAAAAATTAAAATGTTTATTATAAATTTTTGATTGAAAAATGTAAATTATTTCATCGGTATGGGAAGGGCAATTTTAATACTCTCCCCAACATTTGAATCTTCAAATTGAATCGATGAATAAATTTATGAACTAATAAAGTCAACGAATCAGTCGCTCGTAGTTTAGAATTAAATATTTAAAAAATGAAAATGAATAATGTTAATTTTTGATTGCAAAATTTACATTATTTCATGGTAGGGGGGCAGTTTTAATACTCTCCCAAAATTTGAATTTTCGAATTGAAACGATGAATAAATTTATGAACCAATAAAGTCAACGAATCAGTCGTTCGTAGTTTAGAATTAAATATTATAAAAAAATGAAAATGATTAATGTAAATTTTGATTGCAAAATGAACATTATTTCATGGTTGGGGGGAGTTTTAATACTCTTCCAAAATTTGAATTTTCAATTTGAAATGATGAATAAATTTATGAACTAATAAAGTCCACGAATCAGTAGTTCGTAGTTAGAATTAAGTATTTAAAAAAATTAAAATGTTTAATGCAGATTTTTGATTGCAAAATATAAATTATTTTATCGGTGGATGGGGGCTGTTTTAATACTCTACCAAAATTGTACTTTTCAAATTGAATTGATGAATAAATTCATGAACTAATAAAGTCAACAAATCAGTCGTTTAGAATTAAGCATTTTAAAAAATGAAAGTGTTTAATGTAAATTTTTTATTGCAAACTGTACATATTATTTCATCGGTCCTGCAGGGACAGGTTTAATACTCTCCCACAATTTAAATTTTCAAATTGAATTGATGTATAAATTTATGAACTAATAAAGTCAAAGAATCAGTCGTTCCTAGTTTAGAATTAAGTATTTTAAAAAATTGAAATGTTTAATGCAGATTTTTGATTGTAAAACATACATGATTGGGGGGGGGGGCAGTTTTAATACTCTCCCAAAATTGATGAATAAATTCATGAACTAATAGCCAACGGATCAGTCGTTCAAAGTTTATAATTAAATATTTACAAAATTAAGATGGTTTGTGAAATTTTTGATTGCAAAATGTAAATTATCTTATCGGTGGAGGGGGTAGTTTTAACACAATGCTTCTCGTTTTTAAATAATTAATTATAATCGGATGGAGAGAAGAAAAAACTCATATCATAAATTCTTATCGACGTAAAGGATTGAAAAATGTATATGCAAATGACACCGTTTTTCAGAAAAGGGGAAATATCTCATTGAAACTGTTGTCTTTGAAAAATAAATCTTAGCAATAAATGAACAGGACTGACGAATAGAAATAGGATTTTCCTTTATTCGTTGGCTTGATTTTTTCCTTTAAACGCAAAAAGAATCTGTGTGCGGTGTAGAATGAAACCGGCCGAATCTCGCGAATTGTAAATCGTGGAAGTGCCGGCTGTCATTTCGAGAAAATGTAAATAATCCAATATTGACACGCCGCATGAACTGAACTGATTAGAGGCCGTGTAGGGTTTTTTCCGCATTTTCTTCGAGAGGACGAAACGAGCGAGGAAGGGTTGCGACACCCCGTGGGTGAAGACTTGAACGCGCAGGAGAGGCGAGGCGGGATCGCAAGAAATCCGAGCCCCTTTCGATAAAAGAGATTCGAAGGTTCAGCGTGGAAAAAGAGGTTGAGGCGCTCGTCTATTGCATTTATTTCCAGCGCCTCAGACAATTCGAGATCGTTATGACGTCCTGTTCTTCGTTTTTTGCTATTTACAGAACGTTCTCTTCTCCGACGGGCTGTAACCAATCGTCTCTACCTTGGAGGGGGCGGATGAGGATGAGATCGAGGAAAGGCGGCGGAGGCGGGAGAAAAAATCCAGAGCCGAAAAAGGGTCGGCCCCCGGACCGGCGACAATTTATAACGGTAGGGCCGCTCCGAGGGGGAATCGAAGAAGAGAGAAATGCCTTAGAAAACGGCTCAAAACCATTAAAACGCCGAGTAGTCCCAACTAATAATAAGAACAAACATTTATAACGCGCGTGTTTTATAACAGGAGGCAGCACGATCGTTAAAATATTTGGAGCAGGAAATCGAAGAAAAGCCCCCTTTCGAAACGTTTCGAATTCTGTGGAAAACTGTGTGAAATGAGGAAAGGCGAAGGGGCCGAGAACGAGAAGCGTTCCGACTTCGGGACGCCCCCGGACAATCGGCGGGGCCAAAGTCCCGGAAAATCCTCGCCTCGACCCCCGATCCGAACGTTTTCACGGAACATTTCCAAAACAATACAAAAAGTGTCTCACCTGTCTCTTGGATCTATCCAAGTTGTTTTCTTGCTGTTGTGGTCTATGAAATACACTTTGCCGTCGTAGTCCCTCGCGAAATCCCATCCCTCGGGCAGAGGGATTTCACCGTTACGTCTTCTCGGCATATTACGCACAGTAAACCCATCCAAAAACTAGAAGAAACTTACAGAACACGCACACACACATACACACACAGACACTTGAGAGTCAGGACGGCTGGTTACCTGCCATGTTCAACCTGGATTGTGGTCGGATCTCGAATGCCGTTTTATCAACTGACGTGCAAGCGTAGGGGGGAGCGAGAGGGGAAGACGCGCCGACGGAGAAAGAAAACGGCCCTCGCTCTAGGCCCAACGGCCGCCCTCTATCCGCAAACATCCGCACCATTCCGGGTCGCCGCGCCGTTACGCCCCCCTCGCCCCACCAAACAACAACTCCCCTTCCACCAAAACATCCTCACTCCTCAGCCGCACTTCCGAATTTCCGATTTATCCTCATCCGAGCATCCCGCCAATCCTTCCTTATCGCCGGCACGATCCGTGAGCAGATGAAGTCAGACCGGCTCGATGCCGGGCGCGACCCACCGCGCGATAATTTTCATCGTATCTTGCCGAAGGAAAAATTCTCTTTCTGTACATTGCCCACTTTTAACCACTATTAAAATAATCAATTATATATTAAGTAATTTAAAAAGAAATAGAATTAGAAAAAAGAATATCCTTTTTTCTTAAACTTTAAATGCTTATTTCTGACTAAAATTGCCTCTCTTTATTCCATCCGTACACTTTCCATTTTTAACAATTATTAAAATAATTATGTATTTATTAAATAATCTAAAAAAATGGAATATGAAAAAATAATATAGTTTTTCTTAAAGTAAACATGCACATTTTCTAAACGGAATTGTTCTCTTTCTTCTCATCCGTCTCTAAATTTTCCACTTTCAACTATTATTAAAATAATTAATTATTTGGTAAATAATTTAAAAATAAATAGAATTAGAAAAATAATATACTTTTTCTTTAAGTAAAAATGCAGATTCCGAATTAAATTGTCTCTTTATTCCATCAGTACACTTAGCACTTTTAACCACTATGAAAATAATTATTTATTTATTAAGTCAATTAAAAATTGGAATTTGAAAAAATAATATTCTTTTTCTTAAAGTCCAAATGCGTAGTTTCTTAATAAAATTGTCACTTTATTCCATCTCTACATGTTCCACATTTAACTATAATTAAAATAAGTTATTATTTATTAAGAAATTTAAAGAAGAAAGAATTCGAAAAGATAATATCGTTTTTCTTAAATTAAAAATGCATAGTTTCTGAATGAATTTTTTCCCTCTCTTCTCGTCCGTTTCTGCAGTTTCCACTTTTAACCATTACTAAAATAATTATTTGTTAAGTAATTTAAAAAGAAATGGAATTAGAAAAAATAATATACTTTTCGTTAAAGTAAAAATGCGTGTCTGTCTAAAATTTCTCTTTTTATTCCATCTGTACACTTTCTACTTTTAACTATTATTAAACTAATTATTTATTTATTAAGTAATCTAAAAAAATAACATCCTTTTTCTTAAAGTAGAATTGCTTGTTTCAGCATGACAACGAGTATCTGTGTCAGCTGTTCCCATTTTTGAAGGAAACAGGATTGTTTTATTATACATAGTACTGACAGTTTTATCTCTCTAGCGTGTGTCGAAAGTGAATGTATTAATTAGCGTGAGTGGGTAGTGTGAGAGGGTCAATGGCGGAATATAACTCCATCGCTTCTAAATTAGGTTAGGTATATAATAGGTGTACATAGTGATAGTTCAATATCGAGTACTCCACCCCCTAACTGAGTCAATGGCACGTAAATAGGAAAGAATGTATTGAAGAGTGTGTGAATGACCTAAGCTGTTGATGTCCCCGAAGCCCAACCTCTGCGGCTGGACGGATAAGGCCGAGTGATCTTGGACTGCCAACACCCGGGATGGGTGATTCTCGAGGTCTGCCAGTAATGTATTGTAAGTTAAAAAAGCTCGAATTGCACGTGGACTGCGCGAAGAGATAGGCTCAACTGAGTACTCGTGTACGTGCAAGAACAATTTGAAGATTTGAGCTTATACACTGACAGGCAAAAAATTCCACGCGATTGATTTTTTTTCATTTCCTCGATAAAAGAAAATTCTGCCTTTGCCTTATCATTTTTATCAATAAATATTTGTTTATGCTATGTTTTAAATTTGGAAGATCAATTAGAGGTAAACACGCTTAATCCTCCAAAACAAGGATAAAGGATTTTTCAATGTTTACTTTTTACGGAATTTAAATTGTTTATTCAGTCTCATTTGAATTCTGAAGCAATACACTGTTTCGTTTTCATCTTTCTTTTATTAATTTCAATTTTTAAACATAAAAATGCCACTTTGTGCTGAGGATGTTCGCGTGGTGTGGCACTTATTGACGATGGACGTTCCATCAGGTATTGCCATCGGAGTTGCCTACGAAACGCTGCGAGACGCCGTTAGACGTTTTCGAGAAACTGGGTCCCAGCATAGAAGGCCCGGTTCTGGACCCATTTAGGGTAAAAGAACCACAGGATGACCATTTTTTGACTTTGAGAATTTTGCGAAACCGGCACCTTACTGTTGTTCAAGCGATTCATCAGCTCCAGCAAGTTCGAGGTGTCCAAATTTCTAAACGCACTGCTCGAAGAAAATTAAATTAGTATGGTCTGATGGCTTTTTGTCCCGTAAAACGACCAGAACTGAACAGAACACACAAGGTTGCACGGCTCTCAAACACAGCCATTGATCTTTGGATGATTGGCCTGCTGTACGTTTTACAGATGAGTGTAGGTTTGCACTACAATCTCCAGATGGGCGTGAAAGAGTGCGGAGAAGGCAAAATGAAAGGTACGAAGACTTTAATTTTTCCCAGAGTCAACCTTTTCGACGTAGATCAGTAATGGTGTGAGCGGGAATTTCAACGGAGAGTCGCGCAGAGTTGGTTGTCGTTCGTGGAGGGTCTTTGACGGCCATTCGCCATGTGGATGAAATTTTGGAACATCAAGCGTTGCCTATCCTCCAGGAAATCAGCAACAATCATATTCTAATGCACGATAATGCCCGTCCACATGTCGCTGGCATAGTACAAACGTACCTTCAACAACATACCATCATGGTCTTAGCCGAGCCAGCCCGTTTTCCAGACTTGAACCCCATCGAACATTTATGGGATAACCTCAAAAGACAAATAAGAGCACGTCCATCACTTACAGGAGAGCATCAGATACAATGATATGGTACACAGATGGCTCCAAAACAAAAGAAGGAATCGGATCAGGCGTTTTCTGTACAAGCCCAAAACATGAGCAATCAACTCATTAGGGAAGTACATTTCGGTCTTTTAAGCGGAAATACATGCCATCAATGCTTGTGCCCTGGAAAATCTTAAAGAGGTTACACTGACAAAAAATCCTCATAAGATCAGACAGCCAAGCAGCTATTAAAGCATTAGCATGTAAAAGAATCACATCAAAATTAGTCAGTGAATACATCCAAAATCTCCAAAACCTGGGGAAACACAACAACCTGATGATATCTTGGGTGCCAGGGCACAGGGAAATTTTGGGTAACGAGAAAGCAGACAGACTGGCGGTGCTAGACATAGTAAACTTATGATGAAACAACCCTCACTGAGACACTGCTGCAATTGGAGAGGGCCAAACTCCGAGGAGCGGTAGGACTACTAACCGGTCACTGGTATCTGAGAAAACATCTACACAACATGGGTATATACAGCGATGATCCCATTTGCAGATTATGTAATGAGGAGGAAACAGCCACTCATATCATCTTCGATGCGAAGCAAGAGCTCAATTTAACCTAACGTACGGAAAAGACTTAGGGAATCAAATTGCAGCAGCAGTCAATGACCTGATACTTATAAGAAGAAGGATTGAGTCTATTGACTGAAGTAAGGAACTAGGAAGGTACAATAAGCCGGAAGGCTGCAGTGCCTGGGGAATACAAACCCCGCTTCCTAGTAACTTTTTCCACCATACCATACCATACCATACGTCCATCACTTGATACACTCCACGATCTTGAATGGGCTAACCACCAGCAAAGAGACATTTCCAGTCTGGTAGAAAGTATGCCGAGGCGTCTTCGAGATGTAATTAAGGTAAGAGAACAACATACGTGATATTGAAATGTTAATTGAAAATCTAAAACAAAATTTATCTGTCCGTCTTTTTTTATATTTTTTATTTCCCTTAGCAATATACATTTTTTAACTTTTTTAGACAAAGACTCAATGATTGAACGATAAAAAACGTGAAACTTTGATTAATATATAAGAATATATACAAATCAAGTTATATTACAAGTGAGTGGAATTTTTTGCCTGTCACTGTATATATCAGTAAATTAAAAACACTAAATATCATCGGAAAAAATAAGAGTCGAGAAATAATTGATGTAGATCACACACGCGAGTTTTCTTATTTTACAAGGATAAATGTTTATATTTTGATGTCCCGCCATGTGATGTCAAAAGGGAATTGAGACTAACTCGTCAGTTGTCTAAATTGAAGCCGTGAAATCAGCTGAACAATGGGCTGTTTACATCTTTAGTCTCCATCTACTGTTATCTTTTTAAGGTTTAAATTTTAACCCTGAATAGGGTGAAATAATTCTTTCGTGACGGTCCCGTACATCGAATTCCGGATGTTCATTTCACAGTTTTGACCAACCCATTCTATATTCCTTCGCGATTCTCGGGACGATGCGGCTCAGTCTGGTAAGATGTATTGGCACTACCTCAAAAATTTGGAAGAACCATTATGAAGTGTTGGAAGTGTCAACCCAGGCGACCCAGGCCCAAATAAAGGCCGCCTATTACAGGCTGAGCCTTATATACCATCCGGATAGAAACGAGGGCAACTCCGCCAAATTCCATGCCATAACGGCTGCCTACGAGGTTCTTGGTAACTATAACTCGAGAAAGCTTTACGACAGAGGGCTGACCACGATATACGAAGGGACGGCTGATGCCAGTGCTAAATCCGAGCCATTCAAGGACAAGTATCGAATGCCGACAGCATCTGGGCGTACTGTAGTTTACGATTATGACGAGTGGACCCGTGCGCACTATGGTCACAATTTTGCTAGAAGGAACGCTGCCAAGGAACGCTATGAATGGATACACAAAAGTAAAGCTAAGCACACGGAATTCAAAAAGATCCAAAACGTAGTTTTCGTCTTTGTAACATTTTTCATTTTGATCACTTTTGCCAGTCAATATCGAGAAAATTTAGATGTTCCAATCAAAACACAAGATTCAGATAAATCCTCAAAACCGTGACATCACTGACAAAATTGTTCTTCTTATAACATTTAGAAGACTGTGATATATAATAAAAATGTTTCTGATTTGTTAAGTTTAATTCATAGTTTTATATTTCCTAGTGTATAATTGTTTAAAGGAGTAAAAACAAGTGTAAGTAAATTTCTGAAGGCTTAATTGGTGTGTTGTGGATGTCCGCTTCACAACACTCTTTTTTATGTCTTATATAATATTTCAAGGGAAATGCTGGGATACGAACCAAAAACTAATCTGACAAATATAAGAATCAGTCGTTCTAACGACTCAGCTCCTTAAAATTATAAAACAACCTAGAGAAAAGAATTCCCATCTTTCTCTGTAAGACTATTTTTCTTTAAGTCTTAAGTTCCCATTTAAACCAATAATTTTAAAGAGAAAGTTATTGGATAAACGTAAAATTGCAACTATTTTTCCTTTTAACTTTCTCTTTAAAATGATTGATTTACACAGGAAAATAGTCTTAATTTTACATTCATGACAGTTGTTAAAAAACATCTGTTTTTGCTAAGATATTACAATGCAAAACTATTAGTAATAAACTAATTATAATTACTTATAATTAATAATAGTAATAACATAATTAGGAACTGCAGAAGATCTCAGCTAGTAAATCCCGAAGTCGCATATTTACTTTTTTTTATTTTTCTCTATAAGTCTATTTTTATTTTTAAGACTTATTTTTCTTTAAATCTATTTTCCCATTTAAACCAATAATTTTAAAAATAAATCTATTGGTCAAATGTAAAATTAAGACTATTTTTCCATTTAAACCAATAACTTTCTCTTTAAAATGATTGACTTAAATGGGAAAATAATCTTAATTTTACATTCATGACAGTAGTTAAAAAAATCTGTTTTTTCCGACATATTATAATGCAAAACTTTTAGTAATAAACTAATTAAATAACTTATAATTAATAACTTAATTGGGGATCGCGGTAGCTGAGTGGTTAAGGAATCAGAATCTCAGCTCCTACGGTCATTGGATCGATTCCCACTGTTGCCTCTAGAATTTTCTGATGCATAAGGGGAGTGGAGGCTGCAATGAAAGTTGACCCGGCACGAATTAATAGATGGTCCGGCGGGATCGAGTCTCACAGACCCTGAATTCAATCCAGACTCCTTTCAAAAATGCATTTCTTTGATGGAAGAACACAAATTGTGGTGTCTCAATTTACACAGATGTTGTTGCGAGCTTCCAAAGTGGAATCAGGAAGGAGTAAAACAAGCTGTAGAGCTGTAGTGTTAAGGGGAAGTCCTCCAGTTCCTGGTATCTATAATCAACTTAAAAAAATCGTAATTTGTTGATTAAAAGGTTGAACTATACATCTGTTTCTATGTTGTGTTATGTCACTAGATTTGAAACTGTAAAAAAAAAACTGACGATTTTGTCAGCTGTTTTATTACGCCTAATTTAGACTATGTTGTTCGATTTTTACTAGAGGTCTACAAAGTGATGAACCTGCAGCTCTGCAATTTCTGATCATTTTGGTCTGGATCCTAGAATAATCATTCAAATCGACCAAAGATTTAAACAAATTCAATGCATTTACGATAAAGTGTTGTTCTAAACAAACACAGTAATGCATAAGAAAATTAATTTAAACAAAAAATTGTCGCCCAGGAGGTTTAAAACTGAAATTCCAGTCAGTGTTGAACGTGATCTTTCAAGCCAACACGCTGATGTAAAACCCTCCTGTTCCACAGAAATTATTTTTATTCTTTTTGTCATTATTGAACAAAGGTAGACCTTCTATAATGAAGATCTGTTTTTCAACTTCTATTTTCAGAAATGATGTGTAGACTGGTTAAAATTATATCAAAGTAGATTTAAATGGACATTCTAAATTAAAATAAAAACTACATTTAAAAAACAAATACAAAATATTATTTTTACAATATAATACAATTCAGTATTCACTCCTAATATTTAATGTTAAAACTCCCGCGTAGAAAACTTGATTTTATGTCTCAGATCTAACTGTAATAAAATATGTTGATTTCTGAAATTTAATTGAGAATTAGTTCATCATGTGCAGTACCTTGATTTACTTTGATATTTGTGTGATATCTAAAAAAAAAAAATCACTCAAACAAAATGTTAAGTGCAACATCTTACATCTGCTATTTTTAAATGGTCATGATAAACATTTAGCGTTAATCTTAGTAGGTAGGCAATTTGAACTAAAAGCTAAATGGTTTGACACATTTCTTATAAATTACTCATGATTGAAAATCGATTTTTGTAAACTTTTTAGAAATGTAATGAAATTGATATTTCTACGGGACATTTAATGTACTGTGGCATCTTTGTTCACTGGTTGAAGGTTTAACGGTATGTAGTAATCAGGTTTATAAACACTGAAACAAGAGATGAAAAGTAATATTTATTAATGTTTAGCTTTAGCGAAAATTTCGAAGACATCATACTTACGAGTATGGAGAAAATGGATAGCCAATTACCAACAACTGGTGCTGTTTAATTCTCAGCCTCCACATTCCTTTGTGATATCCCCTTGCATCCAAATCCCATATTTTAAAGCACTAAAAAATTATTACATTATTTTACAAAAGTTGAAATTAAACATTAAATAGAACATACATGTATGATGTTAAAATGTCACTTTGAATTTCGACTGTAAAGAGAGATATATACATGCATACATGATTTAGAACAATTTTACACAAAACCATTACGACACCACAAGAATACCACCACATTTTATGTGACTATGAAATACTTGGCTCAAAATTGAATTATTCCAACCAACATATGTTTTGCAATTGGACCGGAACATGCATACATGATTTAGAACAATTTTACACAAAACCACTATGACACCACAAGAATAGCACCATACTTTATGTGAGTATGATGAAATACTTGGCTCAAAATGATTTTTCCAATCAACATATGTTTTGCAATTGGATCAGAACAAGCATACATGATTTACAACAATTTTACACAAAGCCACTATGACACCACAAGAATAGCACCACACTGTATGTGAGTATGATGAAATACTTGGCACAAAATGGTTTTTCCAATCAACATATGTTTTGCAATTCAACTGGGCCTTGAATATGACCCGAATAAAGGTCGAAACGTCGGCAAAAAAAAAAAAAAAAAAAAATGCAAAAGATGTTTTCCTAAAATACTTTATTCCTGGCTGCACCTAATGAGTTCAACAAATTATAAAAGCCAGTCCCTAAAAAACACACCTTGTACCTAAGAATGCAATGATAACAAAAACTAAGGTAGAAAAATTTGAAGATATTGCATTTCTACTTAGCAGGACAGTATACACATGCCTAATAATTTTCGACCTTGTATCACTAAAAAAAAAGTTTCAATGAAACTGATGACCCCCATGACCGAGCCTTTTCATGACAGTCATGATTCTCTGTTATAAAACAGTTCTAAAATTGATGGATTTTTTATGTGCTTCTTTCAAGTTTAAATAGATAATTTTTCCTATGACCTTTTGATTTTAATTAAAATTTACCATTTTAGGATAGTTTACAAATTTTAATGATGTCAGTTTTGAAAATTTTAGGGATTTTATCTTTCTTTTTATTTATTTTGTCCCATTTTTTGGGATTGGCCAATCCACACAATGGTCCCTTTCTTTACCATATTGGGCCAATCCAATTAATTAATTCTAACTCTTAAACAGTTATTTAAATACTTATTTATTATACACAAATCAATAGAAATCAATGACAAAATAATTAATTTTTGCTTTGCATACCTTTGCTACTTGAAGCCAAGTTTCAAAATCTTTGGAATCAACCATTTTGATAAAAAATATATAAATCTTATTAGAACTTCCCTAAAAAAAAAATTATCATGTATGTTGTATACATTATGTATATTTAATATAATAAAATTCAATACATATAAACCCTGTCAAAACAAACCTTAGGTTGAGAGGGAATAAAATTATCATCACATGGTGATTTGGTGTAGTTGAGAAATGTTCCATTTCTTATAATGTTATTTATCAGTTCTTCATATTTATTTTTCAAGATACTGGAAAAAAACCACATAATTATAACACACAATAAAAACTGTTCAATGTAAATAATAAAATATTTTCTTTCTCATAGCTTCAAAACCAAACTCGTAAAATTTGCACTGCATTCAGTAATGAAACAAGTGAGCGCTCTGCCCAAAAGTGGTTAAAAAGACAAATTCTGGGAATTAAAGATGAACCACAGTCTGGCAGAGAACCTTTGAGAAATGAATTCGGGGAAGCTATTGAACTTGATTTGAGTCAAACATGTCAGCTTGGCAAATGGTGAAGCAATGAAACCATTCGCTCTAGCTTTCATTGTCTTGGGAAGATGTGGAAGTTGATCAAATGGATTCCTCATAATTCAACCGATGGTAACATGCTTCAGCGTCTAAGCATTTGCTTTCAAGGCACAAATTAGAGATGAGTTTTGACTGGATTGTCACATATGATGAAAATTGGATTTTATGCAGTAACATTGTCTGTCACCACCCTGTCCCATTTTCGCAAAAACCAAATATTCACCAACAAACGGTGATGCTTTCTGTTTGGTGGAGCAGGCATTGTGAACTACCACCTCCTCCCACGTGGCCAGACTATCACCATCAGTCCATCAAAGACAGTGCTTAGGCTAATGAGGAAATTAATTATTAAAAATAAAAAACTTACGTTTCAATATTTTGCAATTTGGCATGTGGTTGTGTGTTAAAGGAATGACTCTTGAAGTAGCGATCTTGAAAATACGAATTCATATTTATTCCTGAGGATCCAAAATGAAATGTTCTTGACACTTCAGGTATAACACATTCTCTCCCCTTTCGAATATCTGACAGCCTCATCCACATATCCCAGTCCCACATCTATAATAAATTAAAAATGAAAAACAAAACAAAAAGCAAAAACAATTCACTAACTAATGCTAACTTAAAGTTTGGCTAGTTGAAACTCAAATATACTACAGTAAAAAGGTTCTTTTTGCCCTTTATTATAAACATAAATATTTTCCATCTGTTAATATTAACCTTTTCTGGAGTTGGCCATTTAGATTCTAATTCGTTCTTGTATAACACTCTGCTGAGTATCCAACCAAGGCCAGGCATAGTTTCAACTCTCAAAAGGGTAGAAACATTGCTGCTGGTTTCTTCATAACCTAAATCATTCCATGCTGATATGCAATATATTGTAGGATCCATCTCCAACAATTTGACTGTCTGGCTGAAGAAGCTACAATTAAATGGAAAATGAACTCATACAATAATGATAGGTACATAGGTAGGTATGTGTGAGATTTTGCATCCGTCAAAATAGGACCATTATGTTCCTATAAGTATGGATTATAGCTCACTACCCAGGTTTTTATTAGCTTCCGAACCTCTATGGAAAGGTAGATTTTGCCCTCTACGACCCAGTATATAATGTGAATGAAAAATTTACTCTACCTGATTCTACCTCGATGTTCAACATGGAATCTATGGCAATACTCAAGGCTATGGAATACGTACATCACATGCTTGAATACATTTCAAAAGTAGCAATCTTAACTGACTCTAAAAGGGTGGTATCCCATTTTGAAAATGCAAATAGTAACACCAGATTCGACCATATAACCATCGAAATACTATCTATATACAAGTGGTTAGTGAGGGGAGGAAAATAGGTCATCCTGTGCTGGAATAGAGGTGGAAATGAATTGGTCGATACATATGCTAAGGATTATAACAAATGCAGTGTGGCGCTGGCCCGAAGAGAAGTTATGAACGGTTCTGGGTGAAGTTAGGATTTATTTTTGGGAGCTGATTATCTGCACTAAATCAGACATCCTTGGCCTAGGATCATTCAAGAGAACTCATTTCAACATTGGAGACCAATATTCGGGAATGGTGTTTCCTTGAGGCGAAACCAATTTTCTTCTCTCTACAGGATCAGCATAGCGAGGCAAGAATTATCAACTTACATACAATTATACAATACAATCATCAACCATCGACTTTATTTGTAATCTTCCTTAATTAAAATTAATATAAGAAATTCAAAGGGATACTATTTATAGTATAGCAAGCACGTATGTACATAGTTTTCTGAAATTTGCTCATTGCACATGTACCTTGTATGTTAGGTTTTTTGTTTGTTTGTTTGTTTGTTTTGTTAAAAAAAAATTAAGAATCTTGTCATTATTATAGAATACATTATATCACCTTTCAAGTACAAGAAAATATATATTTTTTTAAATTAAAATATATAACTCCAGCAAGATAAATCCCCTTAATAGATATTTTTTGAATAGAAGGTAAGATCCAATTAAAAAGAAAAGTTTCGAAGGTCTTATTTTAATATCAGCTCAGCATGTTTCATTATAGGATTAAACGGTGTTAATGGCAATACAAGATGACAAATTGAGGCTTTTAAAAAAGGAAGGGTTACGTGACAGGCACGAAATCCATGATAGATTCCAAGGGGGACGACTGTATAGGTCAAGGCTTCCTATAGTACCTGAGGTTTCATGGTTTCAAAGGTATAGGGCCTCTCAAAATTTTTATTTAGTGACTGCTTGCATTCCGATAAGAGAGGGACTGTGGGGCACCTATAAATTCAGAATTTTTGGAGATGATTTATTTGTAGGAAGGCATTGATAGGCACTAGCTTGGAATCCCTGATCTGCTCAGGGAGGAGCGGCGTTCTGTATGAATTCAACAGGAAATGTAAAGTAGAAATCAAGTCTTCTGAGACATGGCCGATCTCGATAATCTCAGTTCCATCTAAAATACCCCGCAAATTTTCTAAGGGAAATTGACATTTGAACTTCTTCGAATGAAAATTAAGACTATTTTTCGTTGGCTATAGGTAACTCAGAAGGCTTAAAATATGGACCTTATTGAGGCCAATTTTGTAAAAAGCAGTCGACTACTTGTCCATAGTTAGTGTGAATACACAAGAAGCCGGGGAAAGTAAAACAGTACGGATAGATAGTCTTAATCATAATGACAATAATAAATATTACTGTAGTTAATAATTTGTTAGTTATGACTGAATTAAACATTTCATACAATAATTTATCTATCAAATGTTTAAATTAATGGCCACACTTAATAATTGTTTAATGCTTGTTATTATCATGAAAATAGCTACAGGATTAATTACAAAGTAAAGTACAGGCATGGATGAAAGCAATAAATTAAAATACCTGAAAAAATCTTCAGAAACGTCTAAATCTTCTTCCACAACTATAGCATACTGAGCTTTGGGGAACATATTAAAAATTGCAGAAAATGATGCTTTGTAGTGTTGAGATATTCTTGAATTTTTGTACCCAATGGGAGTGTGCTGTATACCACGGAGACCGAGTAGTTTAGTAACCTCAAGTGGTTCCTCAAAATAGCCGTCAATAAAAACAGTGATCATATCTTTTTGTGCACCTCTGGCTGACAGTAGAGACCTCAAAGTTCTGCAGAGAAGAAAATGATACATTATTATTTAATATTACGCGATTATAAATTTTGACACACTCAATTATTTTTCAACCATCTTACATAAGAAGAAACCCTGTTTTCAAAAAGTTACAAACAAGTAAGTACTCATTGTGATTGTGTCAATTTGATTTAGGGATGAGTGAAAAAATCTTTATCAGAGCAAAGGTCAAAGTCTTACAAGTATATGAAAGAGAGATAATTAGTGTCTGTGAACTTACGCACCAGGTAACCCAGAAAAGTTCATACTGTTTCACATTTGTTATTATTTTAATACCGTTAATCAATATATCAATTTACATAGGAGATTTAGGATATATAATACAAAGAGGATGATATGTCAGTTCATTTCTATTTACTATTTTTTTTCTCATGGCTTCAAAACCCACAAATCATGAGTGCTTATTGTATGAATTTTAGCTTGGTGCTAAGGCAGCCAAAGCAGCTTTTAAAGGGTGTTAGGGACAGGTTAGGTTAGTCTAGTTTAGGTAAAATTAAGTTAGTTGTAGGGTGTTTTGGGTAAAGTTAGGATTGGGTTAGGTTTGTATTGGGTTGTCCGGAAAATAATGCAGGATTTTAAGTTTTCATTAAAAAAAATCTATATAAAATATTCTGTTTACGTTTACAGGATTACTCATTTGTATGAATGTCAACACTTATTAATCCTCTTCCAAATGATATTGTTTGTTTACCTCTGTAGCATTCCGCTACTTGGAAATAATTCAGTCATCCTTATAATGTCAAAGCGAGAATTTCGTACGATTTTCTTTCACGAGTTTAAACTCGGCCGAAGCGGAGCCCAAACGGCTAGAAACATTAACCAAGTCTGGGGCGAGGGTTGTGTTAATGAGTGCACTGTGCAAAGGTGGTTTAAAAAATTTCGGGAGGGAGATTTCAGCCTTGAAGATGAAGAAGGTCGTGGAAGGCCTTCCTCTCTTAATGATGATGTTCTGCGATCAGTGGTGGAAGAAAACCCCAAAACAACTGTTCGAGAACTTGCAGAGCAACTCAAAGTCAGTAAAACGACCGTCGCTGACCACCTCAAGGCGATTGGAAAAGTGAAAAAACTCGAAAATTGGGTTCCACACTCATTAAACGATCGCCAAAAAAATCAGCGCTTTGATGTTTGTGCATCACTTCTTTGTCGAAACAAAAATGACCCATTTCTGGCCAGAATTGTTACATGTGACGAAAAGTGGATTCTCTACGATAACACTAGACGTTCTGGACAGTGGCTCGACAAAGGAGAAGCTCCAATACATTTTCCAAAGCCCCCAACTCATCAAAAAAAGGTAATGGTTACGGTATGGTGGGCTTCATTTGGTTTAATACACTACAGCTTCTTAAATCCTGGCGAAACCATCAATGCTGAATCATACTGTAACCAAATTAATACCATGCATCAGAAATTGGCAGTAATGAAGCCCTCTTTGGTCAATCGGAAAGGGCCCATTTTGTTGCATGACAACGCTCGACCACATGTGTCACGTGTAACGTCACAAAAATTATTGGAGCTTGGCTATGAAACTTTGCCTCACCCACCCTACTCTCCGGACCTCTCGCCTACTGACTACCATTTTTTTAGACACCTGGACCACTACTTACAACACATAATATTCAAAAATCAAACGGAACTGGAAAATGCATTTATTGACTTTATCAATTCTAAAAATTCTGAATTCTACTCAGACGGAATTAATAAGTTACCAACACGTTGGGAGAAATGTATTGAGAGTATGGGAAATTATTTTGATTAAAGAACATTGCTTTAAAGTAACTAGTTTCTTTTTTTTTGTTTAATACCAAAATCCTGCATTATTTTCCGGACAACCCAATATATTGTACATCTGTAAGAGGTCAATACCGTAAAAACAGCCTCAAGCAAAAAATAAAGAAAAAATCACAACAGGTTGGTATATTGTAAGTTAGTTTAACGTTTTTCCATGAAGCGGAGAAAATATGTAAGTGCAAAGCGAGAGTTTCGCTATCTCAAATTTTTTTATATTGTTTTCACTTATTGTACCTAATAATTTTTGCCATTTGTGGATCTTTCAAGTGGACAAAATCCCATTCCTGAATGGTGTCCGTTTGTGGGAAGTTCAACTAAATGTGTGGTGTTTAGTGAATGTAGTATTAAAAATATGAGTTTGCAAGACCAGTTTTTGATGTACAATTCCCTAATTTGGGTTCCATATTATAGCAATATTAGTTATGCAATTGAAAAAACTCAAAACAAAAATTGTAAGGCATATAAATTATAAACAAAATATAAAATCTGAAGAAATATCATACATAAGTATAAGGGAAATGCTAGCCCCTAATATAGAACCCAGAAGATCTTGGATAGTTTTATTTATAAAGTAAAAAATAAAAATTAGGTAAAGTGATATATTATTTTTGAATTTAATAGGAAAATGTTATTATATTTAAGGAATTTGAACAATATAGTAAATTTTATGGTTTTTTGTTCAGTTTTTAAGTTAAAACAGCTGAAGAGAGGGAGCGGGCAGCACCCTGAAATCGATATGTGTAAATAAATAACAAATATTTTTATGAAATTGGGTTTTTTGGTTGTTTCTGTCTATGGAATATACTAAATAATAAGATAAATAAATAAAACATGGTCATTTCTATATACATAAACTACTGAAGTAGGACACGGTGTTAGGTACAGCAAGGAGGTGGTTGAACATAACAAAATAAAAATAAAACGTAGCTTACCGGTATAAATAGTGTGGCCTATTGCTAGCTATTACCACGACCGGCACGTTTATAACATTGTTACCTTCTACCTAGAAACCACAGATAAAATTATGTTCAAAAGAAACGTTAACAAAAGGAAAAATTCAATTTTGTGCTTGTTGACTGACTGGCTCGGGGTTGAAAGTGAGTGAAGCCGGTTCTTCACAGCTGCAAACGCTACCGTAGCCTTCAATTCTGTTGCAGAATTGCAATCTTCTTTTGTTTTCTTCATTATCAGGCCATGCACAAACACTTCCTAATGACAAATATTAAATTACTTTTCATTGCTAAACTAATATAATGATGTTTTTGTTCTGAATCCAAACTAACTGAATTAAATTTCAATGATATCTGCTGGAAATTTTTTTTTTACATTTTTGTATGAAGGATGTTAAATGCGAACACCTGACTTTGAAATACACAGTCTAAAATTTCATAAAATGTACTATTAAAACGCATTAATTTATTTGGCAATGTTTTATTAAAAAAAAAATCTTTTAAACTGTTGATATTTCCCTCTGATATTGGTCGGCGGGGTGATAAACCTTTAGTTTGTTTGTTACTGATCATGTTGGTCTGTCAATCCTCAGCCTTTGATCTGTTGTTTTTAGCTTATCTCCATATTCAGTACTGGGTATGTTCTGAGGATGGTGAGAGAAATGCATCTGACAGCTCAAATCAGAAAGAAAAAGCAGATGATGATGACCATGCCCAAATGATTGATAATGAACAAACTACAGTTTATATTATAATTTGGACCAATTTGTGATTAGATGATGGGAAGGAAATAAATTGTCTTTTCCACAGTAGCCTATGGTGATGAAGATAATTTATTTCCTACCCATCATTATTTTATGGAGTTCCACAAAATCAGGATTGACATAATCAAAAAGTCAATTTATGATTATTGTTATCAATACAGTAAAAATATGTATATACTTGCATAATCATCCAAATTTATAAGGATAAAGGGCTACTAATAGGCTGCTAAGGTGATATTTAAATCAACCCTACTAATAAATTTCTGTAAAACTCGTGCCACGTGATAAAAAAAGACATTTTTGAAGGTGTGTTAATGATAAAGCAGTTTGCAAGTTATATATTATGTGGTAACATTTTAAGCTTTCATGCTAACTGATGGGGTTGCTAATACGATGTTAACACTAAAAAAATTCAAAACCATAAAATGTTTTTTGTCAGCTCTTTAATAAACTACTTAAACTATGGTAGTAGACAAGGGTTTTTTCAACTGAAGGAATTTTAGCATTCACAGACTTTTAGCATTCGTACTTTTGACCACAAGTTGATGATTTCTGATTAAACTGATCAACTTTGTTTTGCTGTATGTACCAGAAGAGATGTGTTTCGGTAATTTTTTTTTCCTTCAACGGTTTAGTGATATTTGGTCTGTTTTAACTGAGTTAAAAAAACCCTTAACCGAGTTTATCAAGAATAAATAAATATTCTATTAATTCGTGTGTGAAAATATACAATCTCACGTAGTATACTGATTATCACTGAAACACATGCAAGGAAGGAAAAAAAAGAGTTCTATTTGGTCACATACAGGGTGAGTCAGTTTTGGACACACCATAGGAAAAAAAGTGTCAGTTGCGTTTAAATTCGACTCATTTGTCCTTTCCCTAAATAAAAATAGAGGTAAGCCATATTATTTCGATGCACATAGGAAAAAATGCATTAGTTTTTATGTTAATTTTTTTCCTTTTGATAAAAGCTCTGTTTCTTCCATTGTTTACAATTGTACAGTTAATAAAACAAGTCGGCATACACGCCCAAAAATTTATTATTTCTTTTTAAAAGAAAAATAAATGTTTTATTACTTACTATAAAACTAAGAAAAACAATATTTGAAATGTTGAAACCTGTATTATTTTTGGATGAGGAATATATATAAGTAGTTAACATTTAAAAAAAAATATTATTTCTGTTTTAAACAAAATAAGTTTGAATACACCTTTGGTTTAATTCCTTAACAACAACAACAACAACAACAACAACAACAACAACAACAAAACATTCTGATCTTTTATTTTCAAATTTAGTTAGCAATACTTAAAAATGAATTGTGTGAGGCAACAATCTTATAAATATTTTATTATAATGGTGAAATTAGGAGTTGATAGTACAACACCGTAATCACCTTCTACAAGTGCCCTAGCACTAGATGGAGATCTTCAAAGGGAATGACATTCATGAACACCTCAAATGGTTCTTAATACCGTTGAAAAATATGGTATTAGCTCACAACATGTCCTTTATCAGTAAATTTAACAGAAACAAGAGAGTTGAAAATCATACATAAAAAGCCTTCAACCTGTAGGGACAGTGTAATTTGTGGTGATGAGTCAAAATTTAATGTTTTATGTTCTGATGGGAATGGTAGAGAGTGGCAAAAAAATTAAATAAATAAAGCTATGAAATTAAAAAATACGACGGTGAAGCAAGTTGGGGGGAGGAATAATAATGGTATGGGGGTGTATGGCATCATCAGGGGTTGTTGAATTAAAAATTTATTGAGGGGATCATGGACCAATATGTTTGTTTATATAGACATTCTTAGAGAAAATTTAAATCCCAGTGCCCAAAACTTGGAATTTTTGCAAATTTCATTTCCATTGTCTTATGTATTAATATTTTAAAGATTTAATTTAGTTTGTTGTAAAAAAATTTTGATTAGTAGTACTGTGTAGGTATGAGAATGTCCTCAATCACTGTTTTAAAAAACAATTTAATTACAAACCGAAAAAACATAGTGGACATAAAGAAAAAAACCCAATGCAATTTTCTTATGGTGCATTGAAATATCTAACACACCTCTTTTTTTAGGGAAAGCACAAGTGAGTCAAATTTGAATACAACTAACATTACGGTGCATACAAAACTGAGAATAAAACCATGCATTTGTAAAATTGTAACACGATTTGACTTCAAAACCTACACTATTTCAAACTCACTAAAAACACATTAAAATCATGTGGAAGAAACAGAAAACAAACAAAACAAGTGCTATTTATCATAACAAATGCACTGAACAAATGTTAGGTTTACTTTCAACTGGGATTAGGGGAACTTGAACCCTGAGAATAACTGAAGTTCCCCAAGAGCTGAAAGCAGCACTTTTGCTATAAGATTCCCCATAAACCTTTCCACCTTTCTGAGTGACCATCGCCCACATATCACGCCAACTTAATCCTTGGGCATGTCTCGAGCCTAACCTTCCCAAAAGATTACGAGCTGCTGTTTTTAACTGAAAAGTTCCTTCATCCTGCAATAAGGTTAAAAAGAACTGTACATAAATAAATATGAAAAAAGCAAATGAATAAGCTTCATTGGATAATGATTAATTAAATTTTCTGTGAACTGATTAAGAGTGGAAATTCTCATGAATGTTGCTAAAGCCAATAAGCATTTTTCAATTCTTTATTTTGACAGGCTGACGGACCATATTTGCAAACACGTGCACACGCAAACGCACACACACACACACACACACAGAGGAGAGGGAGGGAGGGAGGGAGAGAGAGAGAGAAAGANGAAGATGTGTGAGGCTGTAAGGTGTGTGTGTGTATGTATAGCAGATAATAAAAATGAGTATTATTATATTTCTGAAAACTTACTTTAATAGCAAAAATGATTATTCTTCCATCAGAAATCATACTTAAAAATAAAGACATTGCTTCATCTTCGTGTAAAGAATATGTATCAAAGAGTCGCTGTGACATAACACTTCCGCTTGCTTGGTTTAATACAACTACATGGATTCCTCTCCCCTCACCCTTTTCTCCATCTTCTAAAATCTGAGTAATTATTTATTAAAAAAAATGTTTGCTTTTTTTAAACAAATTTTATGCATACTGTAGCTCCATCAATTGTCACTGTGACTCGAGATTGACTAGAAAGCACTTCTATTGTTAGAGATGCTGGCATTATATCTTGGACCACAAAACCACCGTGTTCCTTTTCATCTTGCACTACAAAACTGGATCCTGTAAATATTTACAAAATGATGGTAATTAATGATAAGTTGTTAAATTGGCAAAATGGTAAGCATTAGGGAATGCAAAATGTGTACCAAAATTATTAAGTTCACCTCTCAACCTTTGACTTGTGTCCAAAATGAAAATCATGTTTATGCCGATTGTAAATATCAAGATAACAACAAGCAAAGTCTGAAAAATAAAAAAGTTTCTCTACAATAAAAGAATTACTATGATTCCATAAAAAAAGAGCTAAAAATAGTTTTTTTTTTTTAATGTAGTCTTTTCTACTACAGTAAAATTATTGTGTTTTAGGGGAGGGAGAAGGAACAGATATTCCAGGGGGGACAGTGGGAATCAAACTCACAACCTAGGGTCTGTAACAAGATGAAAGGCTGATGCTCTATCCACTTGGCCACTGGGTTCACATGGTAAACAACATCCACGTTAAGGATAAAAAGGAATGAGCCTATCCGCAGAATCAGCTGGGAACTAGAAAAAAATGCCGCGTTATTCTTGAACCACAAGTCCAAAAGAAGTTCGAAACAGAAAATAATACACTAACACCAGTAACCTCTTAAAATTTACTAATCGATCTGACAACCCATTTGAACCCAACTATGACTGCGTGAGACATACTAATTTTTAAGTTATTAATTTTTTATGTATCCGTTCAGAGTATAATGCATGACACATTGAGGGAAATGAAATCTTGAAGGAACCAAACTTGAGATAGAAACACACTATAAGAAACATTTTGAGAAAATACTAAAAAATTTAAATCATTCACAGGATATAAGCTAGAATCTACTTGCAAGGGGCAAGAAAGAAATTTCCGAATGTTTAAGAGTAAGCGAGGTGAAACATGGAAAATTTACATGGCTATCCTTTTAAAGTGGGATGTGCCGTTGTGCAACAATGCTGAAGTAATTATATTGGTACAGTTAACCAACCATTGCAACTAGAGTAAATAATAAAATTCACTGAGTGATTTTAACTAATAATAACTATAAAAACAAGGGTTTTTAATAAACTCCACAGTTAAGTTAAAGAATTAACATAGAATGGTCTCAAAATTTTTGATGTAATTTCTATTTGCTCATAACTGTACTTTGTGGGATTTCGAAAGCCGTACTAATGTGAGAAAATAAATTTCACACAAAGCTAGAAAAGCAGTTGCACACAGCTGTAGAAACAAATTATTTGAGGAGATACCAGTACAATTTCCTTATAGATGCTTTCTCCGAAATGTATTCAGTATAAGGAGACGAATTTCCTCACCTGAAAAAACTTGTTGAAAATGTGGTTTTTGGTCAGTATTTCTTTTGAGAATTTATTCAATCTGGACAAATTGACGTCCCTTTTGGGGATAAATGGCTCAGCCCTAGGGTTCGGCTGCCAAAAATCCATGTTAATTTTTATTCAAACAAGGCTCATGAATAGAATTTTCAAGAAAGAAAAGCATTTTTCCAGGAGGGCGAGCCTTCAAAATTAATCAGTCGGTGTGTCTCTAGTGTCTCTCTAACTCTGCGTCTCTGCTCTCTGCCCAGAAGCTGGAAGGTTACATCTTGGGAACGTAACTCGATAGTTTTAATTTGATTATGATCAATTGTTTATTTAAATTTAAAAAAAAATAATAAAGCCATCACATTTTCGTGACATTGTTGATGTTTATTCTAAAATACCTGGGGCAATGATTATTATTTCATTCGTTGGACAGTTCAACACCTCTATATATTCGCAGCAAAGGCAGTGGAAATCGATTCTTTTCTGTATAACATTAAAAAAAGCAGTTCTTTCATTTCTAAGAGTAATCCATCGTTATTTTTGACCACCTATTTCAACAAATCTATTAAAAGAAATTTGAAAAGAAAACTTAATTCAAACGAAGTAATAATTGGTATGTAATAAGTTGTCAACGAGTTATTTCTGAAAGAATAAGACTCTAAAATTCAAAATTAGGTTCTATGGTATACCAATTACCAATACATCCAAATTGGAAGAAATAGGAGAAGGACCGAATTTCTCCCTGGCAAACCCCCTGAGACAAATGTCTTTAATCTTCCATAAAAAAATCACAGGAAATACACAAGAAAGAACTGGTAGGTACACAGATTTAATGTCGGATTATAGTTAATAGCCCTAAGCTAGTTTTGAAGTGTCTCTATTCTTCAATGCCTGAAGGAAAACAATAAAATAACCCTAATATGGGTGGCAGAATGTGAGATTGGAAGAAATAAACTAGCCGACAAACTTACAGAAGGAGTGCGCACCACTGGACACATGCCTTTAATCTTCCAGGTCGACCTCTATGAAATAGAATTCTGTGCATAGGAAATACACAATAAGTAACTGGAAGGTGCACCGATACAAGTTCATGGCCCCAAGCAAGTTTTGAGGTGTCTCTAGTCTTCAATGCCTGGGGAAAAAACAATAAGAGAACCCTAAAATGGGTGCCAGAATGTGATATTGGAAGAAATGAACTAGTTGACAAACTTACTGAAGGAGTGCACCATTGCACAAATGTCTTTAATCTTCCAAGCTGACCTCTATGAGATCGCACTCTGTGCACATGAAATACAAAATAAGTACGCCTGAAAGAAAACAATAAAATAACTCTAATATGGGTGCCAGAATGTGAGATTGGAAGAAACGAACTAGCCGAAAAAACTTACAGGAGTGAACCACTGGACACATGCTTTTCATTCCAAGTCGACCACTACGAAATGGAATTCTGTGCACAGGAAATACACAATAAGTTACTGGAAGGTGCACCGATACAAGTTCATATCCCCAAGCAAGTTTTGAAGTGTCTCTAGTCTTCAATGCCTGGGAAAAAAAACAGTAAGATAACCCTAAAATGGGTGCCAGAATGTGATATTGGAAGAAACGAACTAGCTGACAAAATTACAGAAGGAGTGAGCACCATTGAACACATGCCTTTAATCTTCCAAGCTGACCTCTATGAGATCGCTCTCTGTGCACAGGAAATACACAATAAGTATCTGGAAGGTGCGCAGATACAAGTTTATATTCCCAAGCTAGTCTTATAGTGTCTTTAGTTTTCAATGCCTCAAAACAATAAGATAACCCTAAAGTGAATACCAGTACATGAGACTGGAGGTAACTGAATTAGTCGATGAATTTACTAAAGAATTGACCCATTTAAACCAAGTATTAGGCACCCAGCAAAGTATGCTGAAAGTAGAAATGATCACACGTCGAGTGATAAGAGAAAAGGATCTCACTGGATTACAATACCAGGCCTAAAGTAAGAGAGCAGTATAACTATTTATGAACGGAACAGCTCCAACACAATGTGTAAATAAAAAAGCCTTGAATCTTATTACCAAGTAAAGCTTACAAGTGGACGTTGTTAAAAGAGATGCCCTTTTCATCGTACCATCGAAACATGTCATTTTCCTGCCAGTACCCTGGTCCAAAGAACGAAACAACATTCATCAGTAGCAACTACTTGCATCCCATCTTTTTGTATCCATTAATTAATTGACTAAGTACTGAAAACATACAAATACCTATGACTTGCGCACGATAGGCGCAAACTCTCCAGGCTAAACAAAAGCTTGTTAAGAGGCAAAGGAAGTGTTAATTTCAATAATTTTTAATTCTCTGACACAAAGCTTTAAGTGTATACGTAAATTCGGCTCCTTCCTCCGCGAATCTTTGAAGCGTGAAGAGATGATGGTCCACTGAACTCGGCCGTCTCTCTGACCAACCGACCATCAACTTCAGACAGATATTTAACAATAGTTTACTGAAACTGATGTGTAATTGTGAAGTGAGCTTTAAATAGAACCGCGAAAGGCAAACCAGAATCGAGCAATACCTACACGTGACCTTGGAAATGCAATAATAGCATTGCATTAAGCAGTCGAGCTACTACAGAGTATTTATTAACTAATATTGAAAGCGATTGGGAAAATAACGAAATCCAAGGATTTATTTTTAAAGTGGCTTTATTTTAGCAACTATTTAACATATAAAAATTGGAAACAACAATTTTAAATCTCGAAGTTTTAGGAGTACCAAGTTAATAAAAAAGGTCAATGATGATGCCCATCGTTGGCCTTATCAGTTAAGCCATATGTTTTTTCCATTAAAAAGTCCAACTCTTTACTGAAAAACGTTTCGTCAATTAGCAGACAGCTTTTAATTTTGGTAATAAGCGTCGAAGAAAAATCTAAGTCTAAAAACAATATATTCTTTGTCTACAAACAGATACATAATCATATTGATGTCCTGATATCCTTTTTTCTCTTAACTTTCGCATACCTCCTTGCAACACCAGACAGCAGTTTACTTTCTCTAAAAAGTCTCATTCTTCCAATTACACTAAGTACTCCTGCATACCTAGATTAACGGAATTAACACTTTACCTAAAATTGGTGATATTTACCATTTATCTCTTCATTAAACTAGATTGTTTTGATCTCCATAATTTCACATGTACTTAGTTTCGTTAATTAAAAATGTAAAAATGTTGTCTTTGTTGTATTGTTTGTATTCTGGAATTACCTACTCCGGTGACATTACCAAACGAAAGGATTGGACGTAAATCCTTTTCGTATTCATAGAATATTCAACACGGCTGGAATTACTTTTCAACTGCAGTAAAACTGGATAAGTAAAAAAAAAAAAAAAAAAACTTTCAGAATTGCGATTTTTAAGTAAGAAGTATCAAAATGTTTCGAGTTGTCAAAACTTAATCAATTCAACATTCGGTCAGGCCTGCAGACATACTGGAAAATGCACTTACCTCATTTGACCAAAATTGGATTTATCCAATTATGCCCCGAGGGTGCAGAATATATGCGGAAGAACACCCCTGCTTCCTGAAATTTAATCGGAGGAACCACAAAAAGCTGACATGCTCAAGTACAACTCTTATGTGCATGCCTTCGTATCGATACCAGAATTTTTTATTATGTGAAAAATGAAAAACAGAAGTTAAAATGAATAAATACAAATTGACTAAAGTAGACCTTTGAATCTCGGCACTCTTCTTCAGCAAGTTCTCGAATGCACTCCATCACTCATCATTGATCGGTGATCAGTCATCATGCATTGTGTAGCGCATCTCTTTCATTGTCACATCGAAAGTTAACAATTTTGGGCTGCATTCACATTATACACTTTAATTGTACTAGGACATCCAAAAGTCAACTGTTTTCATCGTAAAGAAACAACCGTTCAAAATCCTCGATCTTTTTTCATTTGTATACGAATTAATCATCGTTTAAAACCTTGATTTTCCCATGATAAACCTTTTTGGTGGTTTTCAGCAAGGTTCTATGTTAAGGTGAGCCTGTAGGGAGCGATGCGAGAGCACGTGATCTTTATTGGAAGACAGGGTAAAAGTATCATCTGCAAAAGTGAGGATGTACGTGTCCGGAGGGGTAGGCAGAAGGTAGTCCTGTGGGATTCCAGCCTTAACAGGATACTACTAGTCAGAGAGAGATATTCCCTGGCTGACTTCAAAGAAGTTGTCAGTCCGATAAGATCAGAGGATAAGGAAGTAGGTGATGGGAAGGATGCTCTTGAGCTTCCTCAGAAAACCTGGATGCCAGATCCTAACAAAGGTTCGAGCCAGGTCAAGGGCGCCCGAACAGTAGTGTTTTAACTCAAGGTGATTGTGTCTACAGTACGGTGGCATTACTGGATTGTGGAGTGGTGTTTATGGAAGTAAAACTGACGAGTTGGGATGTTTTCTTGTAGGATGAGAAGGATTGTATTCAGAATGAGCTTCTCGAGGAGTTTTCCTAGTATAGGTATGAGGCTTATCTGGTGATAGAATTGACATAAATGGTTAGGTTTATGGCGCTTTGGGTTTTTACAATGGACAACTTCCATTGCAAGGGAAACTGAGAAAGTTCTTAAGGCAGCATTATAAAGGCATGAAAGAGGACTGCTTTTTTCAGGGAGGAGTCGAAGGATTTCATAGGTTCCACAGCAAACCCGAATGCCAGACCCTATCAAAGGCTGGTGCCATGGCAAAGAAAGCAACCGAGCAATACTGTTTCAGCTCAAGAGAGGAAAAGATTGTGTCTAAAGCAGATAGGTTCATACCTTTGAATCTAGGCACTCTACTTCAGCAAGTTTTCGAATGCTGCGAACATGGAATGTGGTGTGGTGTTTGCAGAAGTAAACAGGTGAGATGGGATAATGTTTGCTTGCAGGATGAGAAGCATCTCGAGGATTTTTCCTAGGATCGGGCGAAAGAATTGAGATAAGTTAGGTTTATAGCGCTTTGGGATCATCTTTATAATGGAAAATGAGTAATTGTTAGTACAGTATTATAACCAGGTTTGGTACCAGATCTAAGGCATGACCGTCACTATACCTTCACTATTTTCTAATGTGTTTTTCCAGGCTGTAAACATTTTCTTTTGTTTCTACGTCTAAGAAATCTCCAATTAGTGTACGAATTATGTTTATTAGTCCAGTCATGAAATAACGCAACGAGTATTGCAATTATTTAAAAAAATTATAGGGAGCTAATCGTGAATGTTACCCGCCGTAAAATGTTTAGTTTCCTGCCAGCAAGGATGACATAAGAATAAAAACACGAAGCTGGGATTTGTTTAATCAATCGATCGGATCGGACTCATAAAGCGGAACATCCTCTTTCTTTTTCGTCAAGTTAAATTTGACTAATAACACACTTTTCTTTCGCAACACAATAACTAATAACACATTCGCAATTGAAAATTACAATTATAAATTGAACGAAATGTCATCAATTATCATTAATGATTAATCCTGGTTGATCTTTGAGTATCTCAAAACTTTTCTGACAGTACAGATATTTTTGTAAAAGAGAAAACTGCGTGATGTTCTGTAAATACAGAAAATTTCAGTAGTTCAAATAGATTCTGGAAGTTTTTGACATAATGAGCGGCAAAAATCATAGCAAGCTCGACAACATTTGACCTGGGGTCACCTCTGGGTGTTTGAACGTTTGAGAACTGGTTTATAATGCACAAGTCGACAGTCAGGAGTTCAATTAAACAACATTAAAACATATTTAATGACGGTAATTTTTTGAAGTTCAAACACGATGGATTCGTCGATATAACTAACAATAAACGAGGCTGAAGCCCTGGAGAGCAAAAGCAAATAGCAAAACACAATCATTGAAAGCTCAGCATTTGTAAAATTTGCATAGTTATAATTAGTAATTGTTTACTGTCAGCACCCAGCATTGAATTCTCGCTAAGGAAATACTTGAATAATTAATTTATTAGTTATACACCTTGTAGGAATCTATTATTGGTTGGATTTCGGCAAGGAGAAAGTCTTCGGTTAAGTTGCTGTCAATAATTCTTTAACACGAGTAGGTTCATTTGTAACTAGATTGAACTTAGTCTTGTTACTAGCCATACTATCCAGAAATAAAAGTCTCTTTAAACAAATTTTGGGATAGCGATAATCATCCATTCCCAGGATCTTTAGAAACCATTTTGGAGCCTGCCCCAACAGTAGGTGGCTTAAGTTTACAGCCTCTCGAAGTTCGACTGCGTCTGAGGTATTTGACGGAAGTTTCAGCATACGTTTGAAGAACCCCACTTGAACGTTTTCTGTATCATCAGTCCCCAAATTGACGAACAGCTGTCATATATTTTTAATCTTTAATCAGAGGAAACAAGCCTGGTTCTTGAAAACAGCTACAGAACTGCCCCAATCAGTTCTTCCCGTATTCGTCATCTCAGTTGCAGCGTACTCAAAAAACCTTAAATTATCAATTTTGATGCCTAGGTATTTATAATTCTTATCAGATTCCACTGTTTGCCGTTGAAGACAAAGTAACAACTCTTACAAGAGCACTTTGCTAACCGAATTATTTTTTTCTTTGAGATATTAGCAGAAAGTTTGTATTTTTCGCAGTAGTCGTACAAAATCGTCAACTTTCTTTGAATGTCCACACGGGAATGACAAAAAATGGCCAAGTCGTCAATGAATAATAGCATTAAAATCAACGTGAATCCATCAAGATGGTCAATCCTGTAATGGATATTTACCTCACGGTAAGTTAGACGCAAGTTGATCTGAAGAATGGCCTATTAAGTGAAAATATTAACGGGTTCTATAAGGTGAATCACTCAGATTCACTCCTTTGCTTCGGAAATATTCTTCACTGTCGGAAATAAAAAGGTTAAACAGCAGCGGACTGAGTGATTCACCTTGTAGAACCCCTTCATATTTTCAGTTAACAGGCCATTCTTCAGATCAACCTGCATCTAACTAACCGTGAAGTAAATATTCATTACAGGAATTTGTTTTGAACTGCTGCCTAGATTAAAAACTTTTGCCCGCAGTTTATTGTGCTGGATTGAGTATATACAAATATACAGCTCCGTCTCCTTCTAAAGCCTGCCTACTCGGGGCTAAACCTCGCACATTCAATGTCAATCCAGTTACAGAGTCGAGCTTGTAGGACCTGGGTGAAAATTTTGGCACAATTTAGGCTATTGTGCTGTAGTTTCAGGGATTAATTTAGAACCATTTTTATGGAACATAATCATGTTTATATCAAACCATCCCGGGGGCAACTTCTAAGGAGAAAGAATCTTGTTGATGAATCTGTGTTCTATACTGTTTATGCTGTTATTTTGTTTTAACAAGTAAAAACATAATAAATTACTAAGAAAAATGTAAAAAAGGTTTTATTAGATTTTTAACACGTGTTTCCTCCTCTGGACTTAATTACATCTTGAAGACATGAAGACGCCTCGGCATACTTTCTCCCAGTCGGGAAAATCCTCTTTGCTGGAGTTTAGCTCATTCATCTTTAGGTGTACCAGGAAGGGCTGTGGGCGATCTTGTCTCCCGAGGATATCCCATTCATGTTCAATGAGTTTTATGGGATCTGGAGGACGTGCTGATCAGGCAACCCTGATGTTGTGTTGTTGAAGAAACGACTCGGACTGTACGAGTAATATGTTGACGGGCATTTTCGCTGGTTCGAGGTTCCAAAATTTCACCACATAGAGAGCATCCGTAAAACACTCTCCACGTACAACAACGAACTCTGTCCGACTCTCCATTAAAATCCCCGCCAAACCATCACAGAGCCACGTTGAAAAAGTTGGGTGAAATTACAGGCTGCATACCTCTTATTTCATCTTCTGCACACTCTTTCACGTCCATCTGGAGACCGCAGAGCGAATCTAGACGTCATAATCATCTTTAAAAAGTACAGCCGGCTAATCGTTCCAAGACCAATGTGGATGTTCTCGGGCAAAATGAAGCCGTGATACTTTGTTCGATCCAGTCAATTCTGGTCCTCCTGGACTGGGAAAAACACCATCAACGCATACTCATTTAATCTTCTTCGAGCAGTTCTTTTAGACATTTGCACACCTCGTAATTCCAGGTACTGATAATCGCTTGAAAACTGTAAGATGCCTTTTTCGTAAAATTCTCATAACCAAAAACCGATCTTCCGTAGTAGTGACTCCAGATAGTCCAGAATAGAGCTTTCTATGGTAAGACCCAGTTTCACAGGGAACTCCGATGGCATTAGCCGCATATGTAATGGAATGTCTACATCGATAAGTGCAACATCCTCAGCACAAAGAGGCATTTTTAAATTCAAAATGAAAATTAAATCATCGATACGAAAATTTTTAAATTCCATTAAAAGTAAACACAAACAGACAAAAGTAACGAATAAGGATGTAGTATAAGGGCCGTGGACCACCGCAACGTTTAGGCGTTGACACGGCGATCATCACTGTAAGGTAAAGGTCCCGGGTTCGAATCTTACATTCTTAATACTTACAAATGGGCTTTTTTTCGAAAACACCGGCACCCCGAGGGTTGATGTTGCGAACCGTCGTAAAAAAAAGATGTAGTATAGTATGTAGCATTGTGTACGAATGTTCCATCAATATTCCCGAGAATTATAATCTATGCATAATTTTTATTTGACATTTTTCGAATTGTTTAAATTTTATGGGACCGGTGTATTTGCTAGACAGAACGTTCAAACGTTTCTTTTGATGGGCATTTTGTTAAGACGGTGTAGGAATGCGTAACTGACTAGCCAGTTGTAAATTGTGACTATTTTCTGGTTGGCTTGATCTTAATTCCGTTTCGATATAAAACGATTTTGTTAATAAGAAAATAGTCTTAGTTGATTTCTCCTCAATAAACTGTCTTTTATCAGTTCCAGGTTACTTACTTATGGAAAGCATAAGAGTGTTTTTAAGTATTCTTTTTTAAATTGATTTGACAGCTTCCATTTCGTGATAAAATGATTTGTTTAATTTAATGGAGGATACTTATTTCTTTTATTCTTAGGTGGTAAAATGAAGAAATCATCAGGAGGAAGTGCCCAGACGAAAATCATCATTAATTTTTCAGACAGATTGGCATATTCTTTTTAAAAAAAAGGGTTGAACACCGCACTCACTCCATCATTCATCATTTCGATTAGCGTATTCGTTGAACAGGAGAGCATAAGAGAGTTCTTAAGTATTATTATTATTCTTTTTAAAGTTGATTTGACATCTATTTCGTGATAAAATGATTTGTTTAATGGAGGATACTTATTTCTTTTATTCTTAGGTGGTAAAATGAAGAAAACATCAGGAGGAAATGCCCAGACGAAAATCATCATCACTTCTTCAGACAGATTGGCATATTCTTTGAATAGGAGAGCATAAGAGTTTTTTCCAGTATTCTTTTTAAAATTGATTTGACATCTTCCATTTCGTGGTAAAATGATTTGTTTAATGGAGGATACTTATTTCTTTTGTTCTTAGGTGGTAAAATGAAGAAATTATTATCGGAGTAAGTGCTCAGACGAAAATCATCATTTATTCCTTAAGATGACCTTTTTGACCTCTCCTATTCGACAAATTTGCTAGATATTTTGGATTGATCCCGTCGTCTCGTTTGAGCCAGGAGGATCCGTCCCGTCCTCCAAGAAGTTTAGGATCAGTGAGAGTGTATGCATAACGTGGATTACCGCATTGTCTGGAAAGCGGAACAGCTAGTCAGCTGTGTCAAAGGAGGAGTTCCATTATAAATATCTGACTTGTAAGAAAGAGACGAGAGTCATGTTGAGTCTAAGAGTGATAGGGCTTCTTGTGATCGCGACTTCTGTCACCTCCCGTGTATACCCAACGTCGTTAGGCGGTAAGTTTGTGGAATTTTGATGAAAAGGATAGATGATATTAAATAAAATTGTATATATTGTACCTGCGATGTATATTGTTTTGTGATTGTACATCGATGGTAATTCAGTAAAGTGTTGAAAATCTTTTCAATATAGTATTATCAATCAAATTCAATATTTTTTCTGAGAAGCTTTTCTCTTTCTTTTTAAACACGTGAAAATGTCATTGATCACAAAAGACATGAGTTGCTTTAAATGTTACGTTGAATGTAAAAGTGCCAATAACAATGTGACATCACGTACTAGTTAAGTATTAAGGATAAAACTTTGTTAAATTTTGAGGTGAGTACTCAATTTAATTCCTTGTTCGTCGCCAAAAGCAAAATAAAAAACGAGTGACTACCTCGTGCTGACTTAATACAAAATATTTACTCATATTTAACTTGACCATTTTATTAAGTGGATAGCCAAAATTATTTTCTTTTTAGTTGATTTTTTCATTGATATTTTCGTAAAGCTGATTGATTTACGTCTTAATTCCTTTTATGCACATGTGTTTCTATTGTCTTACATCAAACAATTACAGGTTTTATACTTTAAAAAAAATTCTCTTATTTATTCACGTTGCACATTTTTCTTCAAAAGTAGAATATAGTTAGACATAAAATAATTGCGTACATATGGCCAAATCTATTTCTATCTTCTTCTGAACCTTTTTTGATACAAATATTCATCATTTCGTTTTCTGCCGGGCTGGTACTTTAACCAACTCTATTAAATATTTGTCACAAGCCCAATCATATTGATTTTGATCTCATGCTTATCTGCGATAAAACTCGTTCAGTGTAGTTCTATGCAATATGGTTCGACAACGTTGATCACAATTGATGTTAATAGCGATATTATTATCCGTGCCTTTGGGCTTTAGTTCTTATCGTGTTTTGTTAGATTTCGTTTTTTTTTGTGCGTGAAAAAGGGTAAAAGACGACAATTTTTGATTTTCAAAGGCGTATCAGACCAAGAAAATGTAGTTGTTTCGTTTTTTTTATGACAGTGTATTTGAATTATTGCACCACTGATTTGTATTTGCATATTTCCATTGGTTAATAACATTATTATAATATTTTTATGTAAGGTTTTGGTTGAAAAATCTAGTGTCACGAGTGGGATTCGAACCCACGACCTTCGGCCCAAATTTTCACTCATTTCCCAAGGTCGTGGGTTCGAATCCCGCTCGTGACGCTAGATTTTTCATTTCAACCAAAACCTTACATAAAAAGATTAATTAACTGAAAGACGTAATTTGGTCAATAGACCACTAAATATAATGGATTATTATAATCACTCGCAGAGGTAATAAAAATGTAAGAAAATACTTAATTAGTTAAAGTTATACTTATTAAAATACAATATTTTCTTCAGTGTATTTATTTATTTAAAAAAAAATTAAATGAAACATTATATTAAAAATGTCTTAATCTTACACATTTCAAGGGGGTGTACAATTAAAGTTATGAATTTCTCCGCTCATGGAATGAGTCGTTCATCCAAAAATTTTCTCTTAAGTTTTTTTAAAAACATATTAATCCATATCACATCCTTAAATTTGTTTTAAATTTACACTCCAACATTTAGGTAGATTCGTGACATGTGTGCTGTCGCAAACAATTTAAATTGACCCCTTGTTGGATTTTCACCCATTGCAAATTGGGAAATTGTGAAAAACAGTGATACGTTTCAAGTTTGTTTACCCGAACTGACTCCTGCGTGGGTTGGCTCATGAATAAATTTTCCTGTTCGGTGTCTAAAAATGACTGCATTGTAACATTTGAACGGCTCAACGGGTCGCACCAACCGAGTTAAATTAGGAACACGATTAATTGACTATGACCCAACTTGTACGGGCACAACTAGTTTATGCTGTTGTTTTGTATATAAATTCACCACCGGGTCTAATTATTTAGCCGATTTACTTGTCATCTTGAACGATAAAAATCACAGAAAGTGAAATTTGCCATGCCGAAATGAATAGAGAAGGACAACAGCAGGAATAATGAATATAGATAATATNGGGTTCATATAACCTCGTAGTTGAAATACCCTCGTTAAAAAAAAAAAAATAAAATAAAATACAAAATAATTAACCACCTTGTATATGAATCATACAGCGTAACAAAACATTTATTTTTTAACTTGCATATGTCGTTTAGAAAGTTAATTGAACTATTTCCTTTCTAAAATTTTATTATTTAACAACTGTATAATATTATTCTTTACTTTGATTCAGTTCACAATCATTCGTAATTGTTTTTTTTTTTTCAGGCGAGAGGGACCTGGAGGCGGCAGGGTCACATCACCATTTTGAAAAAGGTGGAGGAGAGAAATTCCACAAGGACCATTATGAAAGCGGAGGAGAAAAAGGGGATAAGGGTTACGTGAGCAAACACCACTTTGACAAGGGCGAGGCGGGGAAGCACGGCAAAGACCACGACAGTGGATTTTACCAAGACCATTCCGGGCACCACAAGAAGTTCCACGACGCCGGAGACGAATACCATTCCCACCACAAAGGGGAGAAAGGCCACAAAGCGGCCAAATACGGAAAGAAAGGCGGACACAAAAAGGGGCATAAGACGAAAGGCTATCACAACAAATTCCACAAAGACGAGTACCACAAAGAGCACAAGTTTTACGACGACTACCACAAGGGCGGACATCACAGCAAACATGGAGATTTCCACGGTGCTCACGGAAAGAAAGAAGGACACCACAAGAAGGGAGACCACCACAAATCCGCCTATCACGACGATCACCACGGCAAGAAGGGCCATCACGATAAAGGGCATTACGAAAACGAACACAAAGGGCACAAGGGACATCACGGCCACGAATCGCACCACGCACACAAAGAACATTATGGAAAGAAAAGCGGACACAAGGGAGGCAAGAAGTTTGGATACTCCAAAGGACATCACCACTAAACAAATGAACAAGAGGTTATAACGTTGAATGTTGTTATTTATTGCGGATTTTCTTAATATTATTGAATAAACGTTTAATTATGAATTGAATATTATTACGTCTCTTGATCTATATCCCCAACCACTTATAACTTTTTCCAACAGGAATATTGTATCATTTAGAAGATTTTCGATGGAAGGCTAATCTCCTAAGAGTATAAAGATTTTATTTTATTGTATAATATATTTTATTTTATATAAAAATGTAGAAGCCATCTAAAGAGATGTACAGGGCATTAGGGTATTAGTCATACAACGTAGTGGTACGAAGAGGTACTTTGCATCTTTAATAGCCTCCAGTACTTAACTACTACTTTCCACAATCTCGAAGCTTATGCGTGGGTACCCAGCTAAATATTCTGAAGGAAAGAGGGATATAAGCGTAGAAATAATTAAGTTGGGGTGAGTATGTCGATTAACGTTTTTTAAAGGATGGATATAAAGGATATATAAAGATGGATGGCTTGTGAAAACCATAACCCTAATCCTAATCTCTCAGTCCAGTACCATTCCAAGGTGTTATGCGACCCGTGCCGATGAATGAATGGTAGGTTCAGTGGTACGATATCAGTAAGGGAACCTCAAGGGACCAGGTGACCCCCTTTGGGTAACCTTAATCCGGCCATACTTTGCGGCCTACCGGTGAGGTTTACCTGCCATGTTATAAACAGGAACGTGAATGCCAACTACTCCCGGAGAAACTGCGTAGGCATCGCGACCTGTTTAGGTAAACTAGGTCCGATCGAAATTCGATTCTTATTAGCTGCACAGATGTCTACACCGGATTTTGTGTGTGTGGCTCATTGATCACCTGCACAGGTGCATGACCCGGTTTACCGACCCGTGTATGAGCTCGTTACCCGTGCAGGTATACCTCTGCACTTTGCTCCTCAGGTTTATTGTGTAGGCAAACAGCAATGTGTCTGGCCGGCCTTACACTGGAAAGAGGATTCCTTTTGCTTGTTGGAACCGCTTGGACAACCCCCCACCCAAAAAAAAAAAGAAGCGAGAAAATCTGTAAAGGAAGACCGGCCCCCAAACGAACAGCTAGGGATGATCTTCAGATGTGGGAGGGGGGTCGTCGAGAAGAAAGATATCTCCGCTTAGATGAACGAAGAAGATTAATAAACTACAACTCAAACGCAAGAAAATTTCGGGGCTTCAGAGGACTGAATTGGCGATAGAGTGCGCAAGAAAGGGGGAGCCAATCTTGAAAAGGGAACAAAACCCTGAACGCGCAAACTTCCAAACTCAAGCACCAAGCCTACCCACTGTCATCATCAAGTAGAAATGTTCTCAGGACATGTGCAAAGAAACCAAACTAGGAGGAAGCGATGTGAAGCAAACCATCCCTCGTCAACCCCAAGAAAGCCCTTAAAGAGCTAATAATGGCCTTATTTGAAGGATTCCAGTCCAGAAACTAACAGCAGATCAGGGCAGGCCCATTCAGCTGGCTATCCTGGCTGAGGTAAGGTGGTGTAAAAACGCCAAAGGATCTCAGTTCAGGAATGGATACATACAATGGATACAAAAGGGAATTGTCCACCGTGGGAAGGCAAACCTTAGAATAGACCTCATTGCAGATATAATAAAAACCAAAGGGTGGCTATGTGGGTCCCGGATCCTGACCTTCTGGGCACTAAGGACATAACTACCATTCTCGGGCTTGTAGGGTCTCAAAACCCAGGATCACCACTGGTATTGGACACATTTTTTACGCGTGGAAGACATAGACCAGGCAACCTTCTAACCAAGGCAAATTAAAACTTGCGATGACAACCCTTAGGATTATAAGTACTAAGTTCGAAACCCAGCTTTGCCGTTGGCATTTTCCTAACCTCTGATTACTTCTATTTAGTCAAAACTGGCTTTTTTTACTTAAGCAAAACAAAGCCATTAAAAAGAAATTTAGATAAATAAAAACATCTTTGGCCAAAACACTCATTGGAGCACCAATGGCATCTTGTATTAAAAAAATAACATCGGTTCTAACAAGTATACTAATTATAAAAAACAGTTGAAGTTTTTGAAAAAAAAATATTTGTAAGTTTAGAACCCGGGACCTTTATAACAATATACAGTGTTGGAATGCCGTGTCGACGCCTATCCGTTGCAGCCACCGACGCCCTTTTTCACAATCTGTTAAATGAAAATTAATTTTTTTTTATTACAGTGTAAATTTAAAATTTAAAGAGGAATTTAAACAATGAAAGAAAACTTCATGAAAGTACAACATTTAAAGCTTACAAGGAATTAAATTAAAATTAAATACAAATATTAATATTAATTTTAATAAGCTTCACAAATTAAGCGTTTGGTTGGAAATCACTTAAATTATATAGTTTCTGGGTACACATTAGTTTAAGTTTAAAGGCAAATCCGCACCAATACCGAAAGGAATTTACCGCTTTCTATCTTCCACAGTTAACAGTCGTAAATTGAACGGTCTGGGGTCGGAATTGTATTGTCACACGTGCATGTCCGTGGGTCAATCAGTTTCGATGAAGATATACTTTGTAATGACCCAGATAGATGTACTGTGACTATGTGGTTTTGCTCATAATGGCCTGTAGTCTAGTAATCACTGATGGAAAATACTCTCTTATCTTGCCTTTTTACTAACTTCCCTGTATCAACTACCGATGGTTTGATTGTTTATATTTTTTTTACATGACGTGAAGGATATTTAGCAAGGCTAAGGGTAAACTTCGATCCATTGACGCGTTTTATCCTTATTATCTATCTCCTCATTTCCCTCAATACCGAAAGCCTTTACGTTAAACTACGAGATTTTTCTTTTCTCTCAGAGTTAAAGTTAAAAGATTCAATATGGAGGTAGAATTGTTTTTAAATTTTGACAGTGGTTTTACGGTCACTATCTGTTTTAAAATATTATGTCCTGTCCGTGAAGTTCGTTCATAAACTGGTCTACAGCTTTCACTGCTGTTTGCTCTGTTTGGTTTATCGCTATTACATTCTTTCTGTCGCGTATGTTTGAGTCTGATAAAAACAGCTGTTTAAAGAGGCGTAAAGGGCATCAGGGCATTAGTCACTAAGTTCTAAACCCAGCTTAGCCCTTGACATTTTCTGACCCCTGGAAGAAGTAAAGCAGGTAGTAAATTTAGCATAAATATACCGTGATTCATACATTAAACAGCACTTACTGACATAAAATAGAAAATGGTTAACAAAAAACATCAGTGTATACCTACCGACACAAAATTAAAATAAAATAAGTAATAGATCCAGATTAAATTCTTTGTAAGTGCTCGCCGATCACACTTACCAAAACATGTAAAATGGTATCACGTTATCCAACCCAATTGTACCGTTTTTTTAGTTTAATAAAACTCAATTTTTGGTTAAAAAGTGAAAGACGATTTTAACAATTCACTTTCGTTTTTTTATAAACTTGTCTTCCATTTCAAATGTATCAACTCCCGCCCCGAAGAAAATCGAGTAGCCTGGGGTTTAAGTGTGACGTCTGGAGAGTAAAGTAATTTATTAGCGTGAAAAGAAGGGGTTGTTTAACCTCGCCCCGAGGCATATCTAGAACTCCGGGGAGAATCGTGACGTCTGGAGAGTAAAAGTAATTTATTAGCACGAAAGGGCGGATTCGCTTAACCTCGCCTCGAGGATTATCCTAATATAATATGGGAGAGTGAATATGACCAGATTTCTATGTTTGTATCGGGTGATGACGTGTTGTACGTTTTGTGTGACAACCTGAGGTACAAATGAAAGACTAGCATTTTAGGATATCGACTTTCCTCGTATCACATGGAACATAAAACCTAAATTCAAAATTAATAAGTCTGAAGATGGCGTTTGTGTGAAATGTAAATCCGCGAGACTAGACGGACCCTGTAAAGTGATCAATATTTGTTCATCGACTCGCAGACCGACAACCATCACTAAATTTCCATTGTAATATGCGTTACGTTATAACCAATACTACACCTCTACACATAGAGGTTAAGGTTAGAGCACTAACCAGCTGCTATAGATTAATCAGTGAAGGCAGCTGGAACCATAAGGGAAACAATGTAGGCCACTCGAAAATTCTACCTTTATTGAGTAAGGTCAACAACCAACTATTAAGCGTTAGCGATAAAAAGGTTAAAACCCCTTCGGGGAAAAAGTACTTTCAGGTAGTTATTCCATGTGATTATAACTATAGTGCGGATGATGACCATCGTAGCCTAGGACTGCTTCACCGATGGCTCACTCATTAAGGACAAGGGAAGCGGTGCTGGAATACATATACCTAAATTAGGGATCAGCATCTCCACCCCTCTTGGTAATAACACCTCAGTCTTTCAGGCGGAGGTCTGGGCCATCAACGTTTGCTGCAGAACACTCATGGATAACAAGATTAAGGGAAAAGATATTAGAATTTTTTCCGACAGTCAGGCCAGTCTTAAGTCATTACAAAAAGAGTTATCAACATCTAGGCTGGTAGAGGAAACCGTTGAACTTATTAATAGGATTACTACCAGGTACGAGAATGGGGTAACTCTCATATGGATACCAGCTCATAAGGGACACTATGGCAATGAAGAGGCGGATAGCCTGGCCAAAGAAGGCTCAAATACTGCGTTTGTCGGGCCACAACCGGTATTACCCCACTCTATAAGCACAGCGAAAGAGAGTATTAATTGCTGGGGCATGAAACAATTCCTTAAAGAATGGAATCTGTCCCCCGGACATAGGCAATCGAAGGAGTTTCTGAAGGAAATCAAACCAAAAAGCGAAATGGTTATTCTCTAACTCAAGGAGGGGAATTAGGAAGCTGATAGGTATCCTGACGGGCCATTGCCCCTTGAGAAGACACCTCTTCATAATGGGTATTCTACCAGACCCCTTTTGCCGCTTCTGTGAAATAAAATAAGAAACGGCTCGACACTACCTCGCAGAATGTGATAGGTATGCCAGGGATAGATTTGAAACTTTTGAAGGAGAGGACATTGCCAAATCACTCCCCAAGATAAAATGGTCCAAAATCTGGTTTGTACCATGGTTTGTTCAGAGGTTCATGGTTTGTGAACAGGTCCAAGAGGTTTATGCAGGACTAGTGAGCCGACCAAGACCCGGACCTTTTAGGGATGGGGTACGGTCTACCTAGGCATTTAACCCCTCGGGTCTTTGTCGCCCACCCTGCGTAATATTATAATATGCGTTACGAAAAAAACAAATGGATAAAAAGAATAAATTTTCCATTAACATTTCTGCAGATTCGTATTATCGATGGAATTAAATGGTTAATTGGTTATTTTCGAACCTCTCTCTTACGTCATATATTTTATCCATGTAATTTATGTAGTATTGGTGGATATGATGTAGTGTTTAATTTGGTGTGGTGTTTTGACAGTGGAATTTGGTCGTCATCGATCTGCCTAGATCCAAACGAGGATAGACAGATCAGATAATTGGTAGCGAACAAATAACATAAATAATAACATCAATAAATCAGTTTACCAATTTCAAGACAGGAAAGTTTACAACAAACAAACTCAAAACAAAAAAATCCAATGTCATTTTGTCTGACGATCGTTCAAACAAAATAATGCAATAATCGAAATTAAAACAAATCAACCTTTGCTCGCAAGTCTTGACGTAACAGTGCACCTATTTTAGTACTAAGCTTACATTTTCCAAATCAGCGAGCTTAAATTATGGACAATGGGATATGTGGAGAGAATTTAATTATTTTACTCCTTGTGCAAACAATTGACCGGATTAAAAAATTTTTCAATAAACGCCAAAAAGGGAATGATTGCCACTCCTATCTTATCGTGGCAATAATTTTGATATAAAAAACCAGCAACGGAATCAGCAAAGCCCCTTTGGCAAAGCTCATTGTCCAGTTGAAGGTACGTTAATTGTTAATACAGTATATGATTTATGCGTGTTTTAGTTGATGATTGTGTCAATTAGTTGTTGAGATGAAAACGCTGAAATATTGACGGCATTATCGTGTCATTTAAGAAGAGAATATTGTAAATGTTACGAATATTTGATAAAGGAAGAAAGCAGAAGGATCCTTTGTCAAATCCTATTTTGTATAATTGTAGCATCAATTCAAATTTGGGGTGTTTATCAGCAACTTAACGCGATTACGAAAATGGTTGAAAGAACCAGAGGTCATTTAAGAAAAGCTTTACTGGTTGGCAAGTAAAGTTTGGCTTGAGTTTGGCGCGTTTTTGTGTTATTCATTATTCCTTAAAAAAAATGACTATGCACTTTTCCGATTTTTCTTGTTTCTCACCATCCCCGTAAAGCTTTCCTCATAGTTATATCTCTATCATACAAGGAAAACTTACGATTATTAATTTGTCGAAAAGAAAATTACGAAACAAGTTCATTTCAAATTAAACAAACTGGGTCCACCCGGTTGGTGCTTTCTTGATACTATTTCCTCCAGATCATCAGGTCTTGAGTACAAACGGGAAATCTGTTTTGAGTATATTTCAAACAATATAAGTTATAAAACGGAAATATTTAGTCGTTATTCTTATTCAGAAAGTTCAGCTCAGAAACCTCTTCAAGCACATATCATCTTACAGATCCATCTGTCTTCATCCTTCAACGTCTAAAATCCTTGAAAGACTCGTTTTAATTTAACACCCATTCTAGACATTCATAAAATCCTAATCACCAATTCGGCTTCCCGTCCTCATCATTCCACGATTCGACAAGGTTTCAGAGTTGTAGACACTATCTCTTCTGCTCTAGAGAAAGAGTATTGCTTAGGTGCGTTCCTAGATGTAGCACAGGCTTTTGATAGGGTCTGACACCCGGACCAAACTTAAGCGCTTCTTAGCCACTACTTATTACCCTATCCTGAAATCCTTTCTAACAGACCTCTGCTTCAGAGTGAGGTGCAGCAACGAGTTCTCGTAAGTCTTGGCCTTCTTTCTTTATACTGTTCCTAAAGCCGTGTCCGGCTCTTTACAGTTTATTGGCTTTCAGCTTTGTGTTGCTTTTTAATTATAGACGGAAGCTGATAGAACTTAGGAGTCAAAATGAGAGGGCATGAAAAAAAAAAAACCTGATGATAAATAATAAAAGTTAACATTAATATTAATAAATGACAATAATAGTAAGAATAATACATGCTCCTCACTCTCCCCAATCTTGTTCTTATTTGTTATCTTTTTAATTCTTTGTGTTTGACTGACGGTCGCATCTCAACCCCACCTGTCGAGCTCTTCGTCACAGTAGACAATCAACTGTGTCCGGGATGTTCGCGGAGGCGGTTCGAAGGGATGTTAAATATTCAGGTGGGAGAGGTATGACCTTTCCTTTACTTTCTTGATTCTTGCTTGTGTTTGGTTGTGGTAATCCTTGAGTAACTTTGTAGTCGCTTCTTGTGGTGATCTTTGCCTTCAGAAACTTAGCGGCGCCGAAATGGCGCCCCCAGGATGGGCCCCGCGGAGGGGTCCGGTTTGGACATGGGAGAAGAGCAATGATATGGCTATCTTATTAAGCTGTGTTAAGCGATGGTCTTGGTGCTTGAGCGGCGCTGCTTGCTAGGCTGGCTAGCCTTTTACTTCATCACGGCCCTCCAAAATTTTTGGTTGGCCTTAAACCCGGCTCTACCGTTTCAAATCATACCCCGAAATGAGTCCATGTTTACTACGTTATAATTCGTTTCATATAGCCATCTCGTGCGAGTACGATGTACATTTCGCACGAGAAGGCTACATGGTCAGCCGTTTCCAGATATCCACACGGGCAAGATGGGCTGGGCTTCAGGCCGAATTTAAACAATTTCACCGAAAAGTTCTCGTAAGTCTGACAGACACAAGACAGCGACCCACACGGGAGCATTTTTGTCTCATCCTTATAGCATTTATACTGCTGACCTACGTAGGTGCATCCCCAATACCAACATCGCCACCCACGCGGACGATACCGCAATTTTGTCCCCTAACTATCCTATTCAAGTTACCTCCAATATCCAAGAACACCTTGAACTAATCGAAGATCGGTGGCAAAAGAGGAAGACTAGACTGAATGAAGAAAAATTGTACACAGTGTAGGTTCACATTAAAAAATAAAATAAAATAAGTCTTTTCTTCCATTGTTCATCAACAACAAAGGGATACTGATTTCCATTCAAGTCAAATACTTAGGACTATACCTAGGTAGCAGACTGACGTGGAATCCCCACACAAGAGTTAAGGGACAAGAACTTAACAAAGGATAGACAACTAAGAAGACTTTTAGGAGCGAAAACTAAACTAGCTTTATACAAGACTTTACTGCGACCACTTTAGATTTATGGAGCAGAACTGTGCGGTTCTGCCAAGCCATACCTCATCCAGTGCATCCAATCTTTCCAATCAAAATCAATGTCCTCAGTTGAAGTCCCGAGAACCCGCCCACGTCGCCTTAAACGACGATCGCCTCGAGGCCTTGCCTCTCTCATACTGAGTGCCAGCATTGTCTGGTTTCTCACGGTATGTGTCCTCCGGGTGAAGCGCCGGCATTAGTGTTAGTGCTGTGACATGAAGGTTGGTTATGAAAGTAAAGTGATCATTTTCCATATGAATGATGATGATACTAGGATAATCGGGGGTCTTTCCAGAAAAGAATCATTGAAAGTAAAGAAAAGATAACGCTAAATCGTCAGGGCGGTTGTCTTTTATACAGCTCTCATAATTTTTTATTAATTAAGTGTTTTTGAAAAATAGAATTAAACCATATTCTGCGTATGTTTAATTCGCATTATTTTGTTTTTCGTATTATAGATGAGGTCTGTCACGACTGCTGTCTTATGCCTCCATTTCATCATCGTTTTCTCTTCGATTGTAAGGAGTGAAGCCTCTTATTCTCTTCATCTGGATAAGACATTTGATGGGTTGGCATCGCATTGCTTGTTCCACTCATCGCCATGCACTGAGAATTATGAGGTACGGGATTCATTTTATAGTTTGCATTGTTTATTCTGTTTAATCACTGATTTAATTAAATAAACGATAAATTGAAAAAACAAAATATCAACAAGACGAACTCTAGGTAAATCTTGGGGACAAAAACCGAAAATGGGCCATTGGTTATACACAACAGTAATAAGACCCGAAGTATCTTATGGCTCTCTAATCTGGTGGACTAAAGTTCAGAAAGAAAAAGTACCCAAACATTAGACAGCATACAAAGATTGGCAAACCTTTATACTACAGGGGCAATGAAAACAGCCTCGCCAATTGCACTAGAAACACTCCAAAACTCCACTGGAAAAATTGATACAAGGAGAATAGGGGAAAAGTTCATTTAGGCTCCAGAAACAAGAAAATTGGATGTGAACTACACTTCGAGCACACAGTAATAATAAATATATATATATATTTTTTTTACGAGGGTTCGCAACAGCAGAGGTCATATAAACCCTCAGGGTGCCGGTGTTTTTGAAAAAAAGCCCATTTGTAAGTATGTCGGGTTCGAATGCAGGGCTGCTGGATTCGAACCCGGGACCTCTACCTTACAGTGATGAGCGCCGTGTCAAAGACTAAACCTTGCGGCCACCGACGCCCCAATAAATAAAATTTACATCCACATTTAGAAACGGGGACTGACAGATGATCCCGGAAACACTCTTTACAACCTATAAAATCTCAACCGAATACAAGAAAGAAAAATAATTCAGGAGATCAGGTACAATGATATAGTGTACAGATGGCTCCAAAAGAAATAAAGGAACCGGATCAGGCGTTTTCTGTACAAACCTTTTGAGAATTCAAACTCATTAAGGAATTATACCACCGTCATTCAAGTAGAAATACATAAAGGCATCAATGCTTGTGCCCTAGAGAATCTTAAAAGAGGTACACTGACAATAATTCCTCATTAGATCGGACAACCAAGCAGCTACCAAAGCATTAGTATTTTAAAAACATCACTTCAAAACTAGTCAGTGAATGCATCCAAATCTCCAAAAACTGGGGAAACACATCAACCTGATGATACGTTGGGTACCAGGGTACAAGGAATTTTCGGTAACGATAAGGCACACAAAATGATCAGAGAAAGATCTACAAAACCATACAAAGGCCTTGAAGCTATTCTTGGGATTACAAAAATAAACATAGAATCCTCCGTCACAGAATGGATACAAAAAAGACAAAAGGAGAAGTGGACAAAGAGTAGAGGTGCTAGACACAAAAAGCTTATGTTAAAACAACGCTCACCAAGACTGGCAAACTGTTGGGGAGGTGTAAACTCGGAGGAGTGATAGGACTACCGGTCATTGATATCTAACAAAACATCCGCATAACGTGGGTTTATTCAATAATAATCCCATTTGTAGATTATGCATGCAATGAGGAAGACGAAACATCTAACCATGTAATCTTTGAATTCGAAGCAACCGCTCAATGGAGACATAACTTCGGATACAAAGAAAATTCAGAGAAAAGAATTATGGCAACGGCATATAATGATCTAGTATTCCTTAGGAGAAGGACTGAGCCGATTCCACTGAACTAAGGAACTAATAAAGTAAAATAAGCCAGAAGGCTGCAGTGCTTGTGGAACAAAAACCCCGATTTCCAATATCCATATTCATCATCATTATCATGTTGCGACCCTCTTCCACCTACAGTGAAAAAATGCTTTTTGTAAGGTATTTTGTTGAAGCCTGTGATGTTATCCACCTGCAGTATGATCATCTTCGATCTTATTGGTCTACCGATCTTAGCCGGTTTGGACTAATGTGCACATGATTGTGCAGTTAGTAGTCTACTAAATTGTCATTTCTCATTAATTCCTTCTGTAAACTAGTTTTCACTAAATTTATGAACCGCATCAGTTCTAGACCTGGAGCGTTTCTGCATTGCGGAAGTATAAGAGCTTTTTTTGGAAAATTGATATGGCATTTCACTCCTACAATATCGACTGCAGAACTTTCTGATCCAATTCAAATTAGAAATAAGGAAGCGTAAGGAAGTTCGATGTAATTATCGCCGACTCAGCTGGCTCACCTCCGAAGCAGCCTTCTCCCCCTAAGAGTGGAGCAACATCTGCAAATCAATTAAAGAAAAGCTGAAGGCCCAAAGAAGCTCTAGAACAAAGAAGGAACTCCACACGGAAAATAGTGAAGCGTATTTGACTGTCATCAAAAATCGATGACCACTTGGAAGAAGTTGAGAAGAGTAGGCAACTTTTTGATCACATATTCTGGAAGTCCGAACTGCTGTAGAACAGAAATTAAAGACTGTTGCTGAGATGGTTCGTCAGAACAAAGAACACATATCACATCTTCGTCGCCACTTGAAGTTGTTGCTTAAAGTAGCCAAGAAAAGCACAGTTCAAATACACAGTTTTGTTATACCAACAACTTTACAGTCGAAGCTTCATTATCAACTGACGCAGTAAGAAAGACTCTGCATCGCAAACAATAATCCCCAGTGAACCTCTAGCTTCAATTAGCTCTCGCTATTAAAGTACAAACACTACAAGACGCTTCAAGGGCCTGTGTTTTATTTGTCAGTCATGTCCCTTTTGGAAAAGTGTAAAGAGGTGAGTTCCTTTTCCTCTGGTTTGGTCTATAATCGTATAAAAAGGACACGGTTAACATAACAGCACACAGTCCAACCAGTGAAAAAGATGAAAACAGACTTTAGAGTTTTTGTCTGTGAGTAGGACCGGTGTAAGGGTTGAGCCGATGGTCAGATATCGATGTGCCGGATGTTGATGCATCAGGCAGCTCCTTCGGCTGTTGAAGATAAGAGAGATGATGCTGTGTACCCTTGTTGCTACAGCTGACAGCTTGCTCCATTAGTCCAACACAGGTTGAGCTGCTGCAAGCTTATTGGCTGTAGCGAGGAAGGCGAGACCTTTGTTGAAGCAGTGGTAACACCTAGTGGATAACTTGTTAACCAAAGATGGTCACCACAAGACCAGCGAGACAGAAATACAAATAACAGGCAGGTAAATGCGAAATATTAACGTTAATTTTATGTTGTAGGTGATCTGCTTACCTAGAAACTACATCCCGAACGTCTTGATTAACGTCAAATGTAAAAGAGAATGTATCGGAACTCCTTGCTCGTTCGACGAGCGGTATCGTTTGGAAGAAAACAGGGCGATTGTCAACGTGATGACCAACACCACTTATTTCGAATTTACACGGTATATTGTGGCAGTCGGTTGTGTGTGCAAGAAGGTCATGGATTCAGAAACGGTCCTTTCCGCCAAGATGATTCCAAATTCGTTTCCACAGCTAGTGGAATGAAAGGACCGTCAGGTGATCGTTTAATTTGATACAGTGACCTTAATGATTTCAAATGATTTCAAATTAAATTAATGGAATTTTCTGTAGTCTTATTTATGTCCAAAATATCCTTCATTCTATCCGAAAGCGGAGAGACGAACTCGTAACTGTTATTATCGCTATTATCCAAGCGATACCAACTACCTCTTACAGATGTAATAGTAAGATTTGCATTAATTACAATTTACGAAAATTTGTAAATTAGAGGGTACCAGCATTGGCGATTGTTTGTTCTCAAGACATCTTTGAGAAGACTTTGTTGTTACAACAAGTAAGAAAACCAGACGGACATTCAAGGTTAACGAATTAAGAAATTTCGTTTGTAATGGTACACAAATAATTAGTTTAAATGACTTAAAGTGAGATGCCAAAGTAATCACTAAAAATTTCTCAGTTGTCGACTGCAGCGATTTTACTTGCAGAGTTTTAAGAGTTATTTCCGAGTTGACTTCTGACGGCGTAGTTCACCTTATGAATTATTGATTACTACATTGAACCTCGGCCCTACACGAACTCGAGCAATGCAGCAATTTTTACGACGATCTTCAGGTTATCACTCTTACTATTACATAACCAAAACAGTTGATAGGGGCAATCTGTGTATACCTGGCCGACTACATCAATGGCACTCGACCTTCCACCCTTACATATTTATGTACAAATTTTGAGAGTGCCAACAGGCTCCTGAGATGCAAGGAAAACGTCAGATCTAAGGAGGATCTACCATAAAATTTTGTAGAGCATTAAAATCGAGAAAGCTATAACGGTACCTGACAAAATGAGAGAAAAGCACAACTTTGACAGACACTTCCAAGTGGCCTTAGAAAATAGAAAACCTATGGAGTACCCCAAAGTTTCAGGAAGGGACCCTAATATGGTACACAGAACTATACCCTAGCAAAGCCCCTTCGCCTAATCCTAACAATTTTCCAAGCTGAGGTCTATGCTGTCCAAGATCCAAAACTTTGTGCACAGAAGTTAATAAAGAAAAATATGAAAGGTGCAGATTTACATACTCTTAGACAGTCAGGCAGCTTAAAGGCACTAAATATGCTTTCAACGCCAAACTTGTCTGGGGGTGTCCAAATTTCTTAGTGCTTAAAATAGCAGAACTTTGACTAGAAAGAAAAACATTCGCAACGTATTGTTATTGTGGCGGAGGCCACACGTAAATCCGTCGAGATGAATGAAAACTTCTCTAACAACGCAGCTTAACCAGATTTCAATAGGGTGAATTCGGATGTCCCCTACAGTTGGCATAACTAGAGGAAAAACAAAAGAAGAAAACCGCGTCGATATCGCGTGACAACCCCCAATCCGCATCAATACCGGGGTGACAGTATATAAATATAGGATAGTGATAGTTTGCAAAGTGCTAAATTACTTGCACGAGACTTCAATTATCCCATACGCACATAAAATCAGTAATGGATAAATGTATGGAGCACAGCACTTTTCTTCATTACATCTTATGAAATCCTTCCACCAATTATGTTTATCGCTTAATCTTATAGTAGTTTCAGACGAAGATTTTTATAAAAACTAATGAATTTTTAATAGCGTTTAATTTGGTTTACATTAAAATAAGCACGTTGTAATTAATATAACGACAAAATTACATATACATAGTTCGAAATAAACTACAAAAAATATGAGTGCCCCGTTCTGACGCTACTCGACGAAAATGGTGTAATTTTATAAGCAAAACCATGTAATAAATTGTTAGTTTAATTTTATGAGCAAAACTAATGAATTTTTGATCTCGCTTAATTTGGTTTATATTAAAATATATATATAGCTTGGAATAAAAAAAATGAGTGTCCGTTTTTTTTTTCGACTGTACTCGACGCCACTCGACGAAAATCTGAAACAGTAGGAGAACTGATTTCATCGTGTAGCGTAGAGTAGGGTAGCGTTGCGTGGCAACGGACAGATGTGCACGGTGGGGTAATACAATCTTATGGAAAATTTGATTTTGGATTTGCGTCGGGTAGCGTCGCGTAATACGGGGAACACACTTATCCGATACAATGCTATGCGACGCTACTCGACGCCTTGTCACGTTTTGGTAGGGTGTGCACATCTATCCGACGCAAGTACACGTCGCGTACAGTCCACAGCGTGTATCACAATAATCACTATCACAATCGCATCGCCTCTTTTGTTCTTAATGCACTATTTTGAGCAAAACCTTGTAATAAATTACAATTAATCAAGGTTTTTAGTTGAGATAAAAAAAGTCAATGGCACGAGTGGGATTCGAACCCACGATCTTCGACTTGATACGCCACTGCTCTGCCAAAAAAAAATGGCAAAAAGGAGGGAAAATTCAAAAGGTGCTGTTGAGATGGGAAGTTGATGTCCGAGTGGATCGAGGTTGCGATAGCTCAAGTGGTAGAGCAGCGGCGTATCAAGCCGAAGAACGTGGGTTCGAATTCCCGCTCGTGCCATTGACTTTTTTATCTCAACTAAAAATCTTGATTAATTGTAATATATTAATTGGTCAAGCGGACCACGAAATTAGTGAACTTGTAATAAATTGTTAGTTAAATTTTATGAGCACAACCATGTAATAAATTATTTGTTAAACTTAATTGTTTTAAATAAAGTTATTCCGGTGTTTTGATAAATTTTCTTCCTAACCATCACAATTAAATAATTTTTATAAAAACTCGTGAATTTTTGATCTCGTTTAATTTGGTTTATATTAAAATAAGAATGATGTAATTAATATAAAGACAAAATTACATATACATAGTTTGAAATAAACTACACAAAATATGAGTGTCCTGTTCGGACGCTACTCAACGAAAATGGTGTAATTTCATGAGCAAAACCGTGCAATAAATTGTTAGTTAAATTCATTATATCAAAAAATGGTATTCTGGTGTTTTGATCAATTTTCTACCAAACCATTAAAATTAATTTTTTAAAATAAAACATATGATTTTTTGATCTCGGTTAATTTGGTTTATATTAAAATAAGTATGTTGTAATTAATACATGTAGTTTGAAATAAAAATATGGTGGTTCTTTTGTCTTTGACTGTACTCGATGCTACTCGACGAAAATCTGGACAGTGGGGATCGCAGAACGTAGAGTAGGGTAGCGTTGCATGGCATCGGGCAGATGTGCATTGTGCACGGGGGTAATACAATCTTATGGAAAATTAGATTTGCGTCGGGTAGCATAGCGTTGCATCGGGTTAGTATGTTCCCGGCTTGAGTGTGTTTCCCGCTTTGCTCCTTTTTACGCCGAGGAGTTACACCAGCCACTTTTTCCTGGGGAGCTACTGTCGAAAATGTGTAGCCTCAGGTATAACGCAGAATCCCCCATTCCCTAGTTCATAAAACATCGACAGTCCACCGTCAATGATCAAAAACGTCAACGTGTAACATCGATGTATAAAAGATCGAACACCTTATGCCTACCATCGATGTTATCTAAACATCGACCATCGATACTATCCCTACCTATTCCTCCGTGCGAAAGAGCGACAAAACTGTCCGTCTCTGTTCTCCTACTCCGTCTCTGTAATCTGTATCTCTAAAGAGGCGTCAGGAGTGCCAGTATCTCGCTATCTCTTAAACGTCCAGTCGTAAATCCGTTCGTAATGGATCAGTGAAGGGCGTTTTTAGAAAACGACAGCAGGCATTTCCGACTGGCCAGGTTTTAAATCAACGCTCAGTCAATTGAACGTTCGTCTGGTGTTGCGTTGGCCTTTCTAATAGACAATTCTCGGCAGGGGTCCGGTTGATAAACTAGCAGCCCCTCTCTCACATACCGGCTTATCAACTTCACCTAAAGAGGTATTCTTTTTTTTTCTCAGAATTTGTAATTCTTTAGTTTTACACCTTAATTTTCGTTCACTTTTATCGCCTCTGTTTATATAGAAGATATTTTCCGTTCGTTTACACTTGTTTCGCCATGGCCTTACGTAATTAAAATTGCCCTAAGTTCTTGTCAAGATCTTGAACCGTGTATCGAACGGTAAGTGGACGATGATCTTATACAGCGTTGTAATTCCATTTTCGGCTTTTTTAGGTTCTGTTTCAATCGATAGTAATCTAATTAAAAGAGAGTCGTAACGGCGAAATTTTTTAATCCGTTAACCGGCTTGTTTTGCTACCTTTATAGTTTCATTAAATAGATTTTTTTCCCTCATAATTTAACCCTCCAAAGTTTCCACTCGTGCCGGCGAGTTGAGGCGTATTTTTCCCCTGTAGAGATGGTGAGTCGTCAGTTTTAAAATTTTAACTTGATTTACATTTTACACGTCTGCGAAATTCTTGACGCCGACGGTCCTGCTTCTGTCGGAAACTTTTGGGGGATGTGCGACAGAGATTTTCTATAAGGGACATTGAGAAAGAAAGCCTGTTGCTCTTCAATGTACACGTATGCAAAACATTTGATTTTAAATTATTCATATTACTATTGTAATTCATAGTTACAGAATAGCCTATTTCTGTCTATTTCACAGTTGGACTTGTAGTCGAATTATGCTACTATTGCTACACTTTAAATATCTAATTGATCCTCTTACTGTGATTTTTTAAACTGATCTTTCTAAATTTGTATTTAATTTTATTCTTACTATCGCATGTAAGCACATGCACTGGTTAAAGTTCTTTATTGTTAATTTTAAAAAAAATTACTGGCAATTGCCGGCCCCTTAAGTTTTTTGAATAACAAAATTTGCCTATAGCAATCTTACGTTTTTGATGGAACTTATAGGACTATTATTATCATTCTTAATTGGCCTTTCTGTACATAGAAGGCCCTGCAACTTATGTACACATGTATGTACATATATGGTGGCCTAACCTAGTTGCCTCAGTTTGGCTGGTCTCAGGGTACTGGATGTTCCGTTGAGGACCCGCCATTATTCACACTGGCTAGAACCTTTCTATATGTAAAATTAAAATTTTGTGAAGCAGAGGGGTTTTACACACGTGTCTTGACCATAACCATTCTAAAAATATATACATATATAAAACTAACCTAGGTTGGTGGGTCCATGCTCTCTGCTATAAATCCCCTCCTCACACACTCATGCTAATAAATTCATGTGCACAGCTAGTTTGGTGGGTCTGTGGGGCACAGACCTACCTACACATGCATAAACGTTGTACAAACATTCTATGTAATTTTTATTTAGAAATCATGAGATGCGGTCTGGTGTGATGTAGGTTTCAGATTACACAGAAGACAAACACTTTGAGCCCTGAAGATGATCTCAATAAAGATCGAAACATAACAATAAAGAAAATGTTTTTCTGAAACCTACATCACACCAGACCGCATCTCACGATTTCTAAATAAATATCGATTAACGGTCACTAATCACCACACATTCTATGTAATACAAACATTCACACTGATTAGAAATTTTCATATTATATGTACATTTAAAACTTTTTGGGAGGCAACACAGTTTTACGCAGGTGTCTCGCTCACAACCACTTTGGTTGGTGGGTCCATGGAGTACTCATATTCCGTCATACCCCCCATTCATTCACTCACGCTACATTCATACAGAATGATAACATAATTATACATAATACATAATATACATATACACAATCATAATATATAAATATGCTTCCATAATAAAGTAAGGAGGTGCATGATAATATTATTTTTCAAGTAGCTAGGTACATTACAGTGTAGCCTCTAGACCAGTTAAAAAATCGACCCATGTTTAGAGGGGCGAAGGAATCATGCAATTTGTTTAGTTGCAGTGAGCTTGGTTGCCTTTAACTCTATGTAATACAAGTTACTTGCAACAGTTGTGCAACTGTTTAGTTGCTCAGATTTGCAGTTGCATGTCACTTGCAAGTGTGCGGGCTTTCATGCAAACCCTTTGCAGTCACTCCCAGGACTAAACTGTGGTGCAACTAAAAATGGCATGTGTGCGCCTAGCCTTAGTAAAGAACTACTCCACCACTGTAATAGTGGAATATAGTGAAAAGGTGAAATGTGCCTGATAGACAAAATTAGTGAGAATAGGCGAAATGATTGGAAATGACCAAGCTGCTGGTTCATCACTCTGCAGACCTAAAAAAAATCTCACAATAAATATTTTTGCTAGCAATAATTCCCAGACACATAGTATGGAGAAAATCTGGTAAAGTCCAGTACATCCCAACCTTCTGACCTGAATACCCCAATCTCATCTCACCGATGCTAAAACAGCAATAAGTACTTTGATGAAAGAACTCATCATTAAGCCAGATTGAAGGAGAAGCTTTTTAGCATCGAGGGCACAATTGATAAATAAACATTGATAACTGAGGTGAAAAAGGGGTAGGATCATTAGTACCTAACTCAGATTAGACCTTATGTCTTGTTTACAGAGAAAGGTCACTTGTGCTCCATAAAGAGAATTCAAGGTGCAACCTACCTGTTCAGAGTTGTTGAGAACAGCAGCACTTTATTCGGCCCTTCAGCTTTTTCAGTATACATGTAGTTATATGTAGTTTAGCAGTTTAATAGCCGCAGGTCGTTTCTTTAAACTTTAATGTTCTCTTATTGACGGTAAAATATTGAGCCTTATTAGGTTAGTCTACAGTTGATGAGGTTGGTTTAGTACTCTGTCATCCTATTGGAGTGAATGGTATGTACATACAAATAAAAAAGTAATAATTAGAGAGAAGGGTGATTTATGTTAAGCATTGAGGGTTGAAATGATGTAGCTATTCATAGCCCCAGAGTCAGTATTGTTTTGTCATACCAGGAGTGTGAATTGTGGCGTTATTGTTTGAAAATGTAATTAAGTCCTTCAAAACTCATTAACTGGCAAAAGTTTGTCTTTGAAGAGAAATATGAAAAATACTCGCAGGTATTCAAAAAGTGATACTGTTCAGGTTGTTAAAGAAAACCCTGCCCAAGTTATAACTGGGTTACTAGCGCTGGGATAAGAGCTTTTTGTCTTTCTTTAAGCCATGCCAGTAGTAAGCCCATCTATCTGATCTTCAAGATCGAATTTTTTAATCTGAGAATAACTGAAAACTACTTGTTGGACCAAAGCGTACTTCGTTTTGCAAAAACCACTTTATTACATTATAAACTGTAGTTAGGTGTTCATGTCTGACAGAACTTACTTTATCGTCAGGACGTAATTCCAATTGTCATGTAGGGGGTTATTTTTATTGTTCTATTTATAAAATTACTATTTGTAAGGTAAGCCATCTTGAATCTCCATTCTTGACGGTGTGGTTTGATTATTCTGATGGTTTAAATTCTGGCAAAATGTTTTTAAGCCAAGGACCACAGTTGCCGAGTCCGACTTATCCCCACCAGCGGTCCTGAGTTCAAATTCATGAATTTTTAATTGTGAATAATATGTAGAAATTATTGTTAAGTGTTTTGACCACTCGTCCAAGACACCCAACGGGTAGTTGATTGTTAAGCCGTCCTGTAGGCAGGAATTACTTTACTTTAGTGTTTAAGCAAACTATTTCAAGTATGCAAAGTCTTAAACAATGACAAATCATTTCCCACAAGACGATTAATTTTTTTGGATGCCATCTTTTTACCCTCTGATCTGTTACCGCTCAAATCTTGTGTCCTAAATAATCAAAGAGCAAGCAGACAGAGAAACTTTATTGTAATTGTTCAGACTGTTTATTCCTCTTCTAATGTTGCTTTATATTTCTTCTTATAACAGATTCAGACAGATGTTGATCTAACATTTTTGTGCCTTTTTAACCTTCTCTAATACCCTATTATTACCCTTTTCCCATTTTAGTGTAGAAATGGTTAATACTGAGCTATAGAAGTTGACCAGCAGCTTTTTACATTTTTTTTATAACAGCAAATCTTATTTTGGATCTGTGTTATGTGGAGGTACTCTGAACGTACCCAAACCTAAATATGAACCCTTAAAATGATTATGAATATATAAAGTGTTAAAATTAACATAACACAACACAATTGATATGTAAATCCTGAATGACCGTGAAGGATAAAAAAGTATATTGGTTAGGTCGCCCTCTACCTATTTCTATATGACATTTCAAGGTTAAAAAATTTTTGAAGACCGCGACTTATTGGCCATTAAGCCTTAAGTCAGTACAAGTCAGCGGTATGACCCGGCTCCATCAGAGCTTGGCAAACCACGGCGCAGTTGCAGCCCCATACAGGGAAAAAAACGGAACCCCATGGATCTCTCATGATTAATACTTTTAAACAAAATTGTGGGTAGGGCTTTTTTAATTGAGGAGGGGTTGGACAGGTGTCGCCTTAACTGGGCCCTTTCACATCATCAGCATGGGACGTCAGCAGAGGAAACAAGAATTGGGGGGATATGAAATTACATTTTATTATTATTTGGATATCTGTTAAGAAGTTGTTTTGTTTGTTGATGTTGAATAATTGCTTAGTAGGATTACACCATTGAACACCTTTTTAGCCATATGTTGTTCATTTTAATAAGATTCACTTCTTGTACATTCTTTATCAGGTCTGGTTCCCTTGCTTGGATAGCACATTGTCGTAGCTTCAGTCTTCTGTTGCACACTGACAAAAATGGGGGGGTAGTTTCTTAACCTTGAATTTTGCTTTTTGATATAATTTATGTTTTTTTCCAATACTAATGCTACTACTTTCCAATAGTCAATATTTGTAATACATGTTATTTTTTGTGTGCAGATGTTCAGCTACGTTGTGTTTTGTTTCGTAAGCCTGCTATTCATCAAGGCAGACGGAGATGAATCTGTAAGTTTTTGTTTTATATATTAAATGTTTATTTCTAAATAAATTTTATTCTAAATTTTGTCTCTCATGGAGTCTAACAATATGAATGCCATCAGTTTAATGTTTTACTATAGAGAATCATTTGTACACACACTTGAATGATATAAAAATGATTAATTTTTACAACTCTTTAATTTAAATGTTAAATAATCAGGTCTGCCTGGAGAGACATAAGATTTCTCTTGATAGCATTGGATCAAGTGGAAATGCTATCAGGTGATTTTGCACTCCTAAAATGTAGATAAATTATAAACTCCAACTCTCTTAAAGCAGGCCATGGAACCACTGATTCTGTAGACGTTGAGAAGGATTATTTATTGGGAAGGACTGAGAGGAAAGTTGTATATGAGGATTAGAATGGGATTGGAGGTTAATGTAGAATTTTTCATAGTTGGATCTGCAACATCTTTTATGAAAAGAACATTTAGGTCGTTATGGATGGTACGGTTGAAAACATAGAATGGGGCATTGACAATGGATCTAAATATTAATAATTGTAGGGTCTGGATTCTGCGGAGAGTAAAAGGTTTGGTTGAACCTTAAGGTTCTATGCCTTATATTATTGATTTGTATAAGCTCAAATCTGCACACACATGTACATACATGCACATGTGCGCAGAGTTTAGCCTATCACTTTTTGTAGTCCACCAGTGATTCCAGATTTTGTAATTTACAATAAATTACCGGCTGGCTTTTAGCCAGCGAGGTTGGGCTCCAGGGGTTATCAACATCTTGGTCAATTCAGCCCCAAACACAATCAGTTTCTAAATCCAAACCTATTCACACTCTCACTTATTCTTAAATACATTCTTTCCTATTTACATACCATTCCCTCAGGGTGGTGGGGTACTTAAAATTTTTCCATCACCCTCCACACCTATTATGTAACTAATCTAATTGAGGGTTGATGGGGGTACCCAGTATTCTGCCATTGGCCCTCTCACACTACACATAAATACATTCACTCTCAACACACATTAGTGAAAGAAAATGAGTACTGAATACAATAAAACAACCCTGTTTCCTCTAAGGATTGGAACAGGAGACCCAGATACTGGATGCCATGCTCAAGAACAATTGTCATATCGGCTGGCATTCCCATGCTCTCTCTACATGCCATTGAACATACTTGGGCTTTGGCCTAAAAGTCTGTGTGGTAAATCCATATCGATTTCAGTATTGAGTTTGTATATAAGTATTTTGTTGTTGAGGGAAAGAACAGAAAAATTTATGACCTGCTGTCTAGCAGTCTATTAACACCCTATATTAACAACTATGGGGGGGGGGCGTCGGTGGCTGCAAGGTTTAGTCTTTGACACGGTGCTCATCACTGTAAGGTAAAAGTTCTGGGTTCGAATCCAGCGGCCCTGCATTCGAACCCGACATACTTACAAATGGGCTTTTTTTCAAAAACACGGCGCCCTGAGGGTTTATATGACCTCTGCTGTTGCGAACCCTCATAAAAAACAACAAAAACAAAAAACTATGCTTAGCCACTTTGATTGCCCACAGTGGAACCCAGTTTATCACGTAACAGCTCTCTGGTACTTAAAAAGTAATGTAAATGATATATTTTTTATTACGTTTATCTAAGTGTTATAAATTATATGATGCAACAGTTGCCTCTCCGCAGTGCTAAGTAAATGTAGGCAACCACAGAGCGTTTGTTCAATTTGGGTGTATAGTTTAATAAAAATCATTTCAACGTTCTACAATAATTATTCGGAGATTGTGAAATGCAGTCTTGTGTGAAGTAGGTTTTAGAAAAACATTTTCTTTATCGTGCCAACGTTTCGATCTTTATTGAGATCATCTTCAGGCCCTGGGATTCACGGCCTATCACATAAATTAAACACATTTCTCTCTTCTGATAACTTTAAAATAGCTTTCAAAAACTATAAAACAACTCACACACTTTTTTCCAAAATTAACACTCCCATACCAGTAACAAATAAATCTGATTTAATTTACAAAATCAATTGTTTTAATTGTTCGGCAACCTACATCGGTATTACATTCCAATATCTGGATAAGAGAGTAAAGCAACATATCTATGATTGCAAAAAACCAAAGCAAAATCGTATAGCACTGGCTACCCACCATTTTGAACATAAACACAATTTCGACTTCAACAATAAAAAATATTACACACAGAACAAAACAAAAATAAACATAACTTTTTAGAAATGATTTACATCAACAGGGATAAAAACAGCATCAATTACAGAACAGACTCGTGTCGCAGCTATGCCAATATCATTAATCAAATTCAATACCGATAACATACATTTATCATCATCACTTCACACAAAACATATAATATAAGATATAAAACAATCATCACATTCCACACATCAAACATTTCTACATAGTCTAATTCTTCAACAATTTGGCTTTCCTTTCCCTAATTATCCCCGTCTATATAATCCTGAAAGAATAATCAGGTCAGACAATTACCTACATTTTTGCCATTGTCGGCTCCTTTCACCTCAAAGAAGCCGACTCTTCATACGGGGTGTCCCAGTTCCTTCTGACAAAACTCAGGGAATTGATTCTACTCTTCATTTGGAGCAAAAAATGCCCAGGAGAAAATTTTCGGAAAGTTCTCTATTTTGAAGATATTCGTCAATGTAGGGTTTTTCAACTTTTCACTTCCTTACCACATAAAAATGCTTACAACTTCCAAAATGTTGAGACTACAACAAATCAAATTACACCATTTGAAAGAATGCTAAATTTGCTGTAAGATACTTCTATTTGCAATAATCTGAATGACATAAAATGTTAACCAATATCAGTTGGAACATGTCAAAATTACAAAATTTAAAATTTTGGTCATGATTGCATGTTCTACTGAGGTTACAAAAAATACCTACAACTTGTCAAATTTCACAAAAACTTCTTCATCTAATATGCTTTACGTTGATATATCCAGGTTATTTTTATAAGAAAGATTGCGAGTTTTTGCTTGCAGCGGAGATTTAAAGGAATTGACCAATAAACTAATAGGAATGTATTTGTAGATATAAAATGGCAACATTCAAATACATGGCAAACACCACTATCCAATGAGAAGTATAAACAATACAAATTGTTATATAAATATAAACACAATCATTAACTAGTCAAAAGACACAAAAAATACGGCACATTCATACAATATAACAAATCTATTTAACAATTAGGTATAAAAGCCATTAAAGACAACTAACACAATTAGAAAACTCCTGTGACAAAACATCGATAAGAGTTAACCCCATATATGTACATATACCGTAATTAATTGAGGTTTTTAGTTGAGATAAAAAAAGCTAATGGCACGAGCGAGATTCGAACCCATGATCTTCGGCTAGATATGCTGCTGCTCTACCACTTGAGCTATCGTGACCTCGATCCACTCGGACATCAACTTCCTATCTCAACCCCACCTTATGAATTTTCCCTCCTTTTTGCCATTTTTCAAATGTCGTGTAATCGGATTTTTTCATCTCAACTAAAAACCTTAATTAATTGTAACGTATTAATTGGTCAAGCGGACCATGAAATTAGTTAATTTAATGAATTAAAATGAAGTACACTTCACTAAAGCTCTCCGTGACCATTTCATTGTCGTTGAGAATCCAATCCGATTACACGACATTTGAAAAATGGCAAAAAGGAGGGAAAATTCAAAAGGTGCGGTTGAGATAGGAAGTTGATGTCCGAGTGGATCGAGGTCATGATAGCTCAAGTGGTAGAGCAGCGGCGTATCTAGCTGAAGATTGTGGGTTCGAATCCCGCTCGTACCATTAGCTTTTTTTCATCTCAACTAAAAACCTTAATTAATTGTAACGTATTAATAGGTCAAGCGGACCACGAAATTAGTGAATATACCGTAATGTGTATATATGAAGCATAACACATTGGACAGACAGAAAGTAAAGTAAAAGGCAGATACAAAGAACATTTAGGATTATTTCTGCAAAAAGCTGAAACGTGCCTGACAGAGCTAAACATTAAAAATAGAATACAAATATTAGAAAATAACAACGCCATAAATAAAATTTAGTCAGTTTGTAGAGTAAAATTTGCCTCTAGTTTCTAGTAAAGTATAAACCCAAAACCCAAAATGTGTTTATTTATTTTTAATTATTCTTTTATTTATTTTTTATAGGCTCTGGATGAGTTCAACCCACAGTATTTGCTTGACATCATTTCAAAAGAGGAGCCGTATTTTGCAGAGACATTTGATGACCCGACTCTTTACGCTGATAATTGGATACCTTCTCAGTCAAAGAAAGAGGGTGTAGAAGACAATATCGGAAAATATGATGGTAAATGTGTTATATATTTATTGTGCAATAATAATAATAATATAATTGAATGAATATATCAACTTAGTTATTTTATTTTTTTGTTGATCTTTTAATTATTAAAAAGGTTGAACCAATGAACATTCTTTTCCACTTCAGGTGATTGGCTTTTGGATATTCCAATTAAAAATGTTGTCAAAGGAGATATGGGTCTTACATTCAAAGATAAAGCTAAACATCGTGCTATAACTGCAAAATTAAGCAAAAAGTTCTCGTTTAAAACAAATCCTCTGATAATTCAATATGAGGTGACATTTCAAAATGGGCAGGAATGTGGTGGTGGTTACATGAAGTTATATTCTGAAGACAACAATTTAAATCTCAACCTAATTAACGATAAATCTCCTTACACTATAATGTTTGGGCCAGATAAGTGTGGCAGTGTTTCAAAGGTATTATATCCTAAATAAACCCTTTGTTACATTATTTAAATTGTTATTTGTGATTTTAGATTCACTTTATATTTCGTCATAAAAACCCTAAGAATGGATCATTTGAAGAAAAACATGGAAAACAGCCTGCTAATCGTTTCGAGGAAGTTTTCACAGATAGTAAACCACATTTGTTCACTTTGGTTATTTATCCCAATAACAATTATAAGATTCTCATTGACCAGGAAGTAGGTATAGCAAAAGAAATGGTTATTTGAATTCATATGATGAGTTACCTTAATATTATTTGTAGACCGCTGTCGAAGGTTCTCTTCTAGAAGATTTTACACCACCTGTGAATCCACCAGCTGAAATAGATGATCCGAACGATAAGAAACCTGAAGATTTTGATGATCGTGAGAAAATACCAGATCCTACAGCGACAAAACCTGAAGACTGGGATGAGAGTGAACCACGCACAATTCCTGATGCTAATGCTGTTAAGCCGGCCAACTGGTTGGATAACGAGCCGATTGACATTCTTGATCCTTCTGCTGAAAAACCTGATAATTGGTAAAAAAAAAAATCACATTCGAAATTGATTAATCTAATTTTATTACTATTGTGTTGTACTATCAATTGCTATTGTATTCCCCGTTCTGCACTATTCACTTGTCGGTAATTCAACTATGAATTTCAGTAATTTTATTACAATTTTTTTTCAAGGTTGTCGTATAGGCCTTAAAAAATTCTCAGTTCAATGTGTTTTGGTTTCTTTTGCTACTTTACAAAATCTTCCCATTTTATATGCATGAAATCAATTTTTTAACTTGTAAATTCAAGAAGAAAACAAAAAGCCAGTTTAGACTGTGCATGCACACACACAAAACAAACAAGACAAAGAAAGTGAAGGTGATCAAATAAAATGAAGGGCTGAAGAAGACAGCAAAATAATAATACTTCAACCACACCAGATCAAATGCTACTCCAAATAAAACAAACACTAAACCCAAGAGAGACAAAATTAAAAATAGAAGGGATTAGAATATCTGCCAAAGGAGGAGGAGTGGCAAAGAAGCAAATAGTTGTTTGTTATTGTTACATTTTTAAAACCATTTTGGCGACATCCCCCTTAAAATGGGGTGGAAATGTAGTATATGTATCTATGGCATAGTCCAGGTATATTTATTTATTAAAAAAATTGTAAATTACTTATGTGTGTATCTTCAGATGGCAATTATACTGTTGAGAATTACGTTAATACCCAATAACAGCGTCACCACCATAGATTTTCCTTGATAGCACATTGCAGTATCGATTAGATTGTTAGTATCGAGAAGTGGAGTTGGCGGTGAAGCGGCACGAGTTAAGACAAGTCTTGTGTTTGCGATTGAGTTGTAACTGTGTACCGTAATCTTTTGTGAATAAAATAATTCAAAGTAATCTGTGTTGTTTCCCGAAGTTACCAAAACCTCCACATTTGGTGACCCCGACGTGATCAAATGTGGAGGTTTTGGTAACTTCAGGAAACAACACAGATTACTTTGAATTATTTTATTCACACAAGATTACGGTACACAGTTACAACTCAATCGCAAACACAAGACTTGTCTTAACTCGTGCCGCTTCACCGGCAACTCCACTTCTCGATACTAACAATCTAATCGATACTGCAATGTGCTATCAAGGAAAATCTACGGTGGTGACACTGTTATTGGAGTATTAACGTAATTCTCAACAATACCATGAGGTTTTCCATGTCTAGGTGCTGATGATGGAAATCCGAAAGGTCCATGTAATAGAAAAAATTGAATAAAATATTTCAACCACAGAATCCAACCTTTGAATAAGAATTGCTACTAACCGTGGATTTTACGAAAAAGATCCTTTTATTTAGTAAATTAGCTAGATAGTTTATAGTATATTATAATACATTAACTTTAACATATTTGTTTTAAATTTATATTTTATTTATTTCTGCATATCTGCATATGTTTTGCAAAGTAAGTAGGGAGGTGTTGGATTTTCCTCCCCTGCTTTCCATATGTCCTGATGTCCATTTTCCAGTTGGGAGCACTCCAAAAAAATATGGTTTGAGTGCTCGCCCACTCCTGTTTGGCATCATTGACAAAGGGCTGAATTGTTGATCCCCATAAGGCAAAGGTGATATCCTAAATTATGGTTGTTGAACCTTCCTTTGTATCCCATGGTTGTAGGCTTCCACAGAACTTTTCTTTTTCTTACAATGAGGTAATACCGAGTATAGGTAAAATTCCTTCCATGGTTGGAATACTACTGTTTTGATTTGGGCTATGATATCCGAGGTCGTTAATACATCCATCTTTAAACCTATCAAGACTGCCTCCTTTGCGAGGTGATCAACTTTTATTTTCCCTTTACCCCAGCATGTTCTGTAGTTCATACAATGGGGTGGAACCGTTTTCATTTATACCTGTCATAAAGGATAAATTATGACAGATAAGGAATAGGATTGAAGAATTATTTGTTCATTTAATGAAAGATTATTGCCAGGAAAACAACTTAGAATTAACTCCTTTAGAATTCAAATGTTGGTAACGTTGGATGAGAGAGTGAGTGGAGTAATAAAAATATGACATTAAAAATATATTTGTTCATATTGTGTTTTGTAACTGTAACTGAATTAAGGGATAATTCATGCAGTACCAAGAAAAGTTAACAGTTTTTTAATTTTATTTTTAAATCTAGGGATGAAGAAATGGACGGAGAATGGGAAGCTCCTCTAGTTCCCAACCCTGCGTGTGAGGATGCTGCAGGATGTGGTGTTTGGACACCTCCTGAAATTCCAAATCCAAAGTATAAAGGCAAATGGTCCCCACCGTTAATACCTAACCCAGCATATCGAGGCAAATGGGAACCGAGAAAAATTCCAAATCCTGATTATTTCCATGATGAAAATCCTTTCGTGTCACTCGTACCTTTGGTATGTTTATAATGTGATGCAATCATTGCCATCAGTTTTGATTTTTTAATGACATAACTTTTTATTTTTTGTAACTATAAATGCATTGTGGCAATGAATTAATGAATTTAAACTAGTGAATGTATTTTTAATTAATTTTTGTATTCTAGGCAGCTGTAGGCTTCGAGTTGTGGTCCATGTCTCCCAATATATTTTTTGATAATATTCTAATTACCGATGATGAGAATTTTGCCCAATCCTGGTCCGACATCACTTTCCGTACAAAAATAAAGAGAATCACTAAAGAGTCGGTAAGTTCTTATTTTCATTCTACCACATTTATTTCCAATTCATTACTGCATTAAATACAGACCACTATTCATAAAAGGACCTCCATTAAAAATCACACAAAATGTACAATTTAATAATTTTTATTTGTATAAACATAATAACCGTATAATTATAATGAAATTACAAACATTCAAAACCTTTATCTTTTTTATTTTTGATTTGCTCGGATATCGTCTACAGTTTGAATGTTTTAAGAATTTGAAACCAAACCGTGAGATGGAATTTAAAAAAGAGTAATAAAACAAAGGCAAGTAAATAAATGTTATGTTAAATGCAAAATTTCTAGTTTAGTTTGAAAAGTGTAATTATACTTTTGCTTTGGGTGAATATATTATGCCTGATTAAAATAAATGAAAAAATGTTCTTAAAAAAAAATCTATTATCTATAATATCAATTGTATATGTGCATATGTACAAAACAAAATCCACACAATAAACCATCCCATTTGATGTAGTGATTAAGTATTTATGCGAGGTAAATGTTCATAGGAGTCATTGCGGGGGAGATTAATGAAGTATTTAAATTATAATCCAGGTTGGTGGGCATTATATATTATATACTGTCTCATACCAATTGTTGGATATGGGTGGTATTTGTGGTGGAGAGTCCAAGAGGTATTGTAATAGTTTCTTGTAGCCCAGTAAAATTGTATAAGTATGAGTAAACCTAAATAATGGTGTGATCGTTGACACTTAATAAAACTAGAGACACTCGTTGTAATATAATGCAGTAAGTTTTGATTAGATTAGATTGTGATAGCTGCACTTGTTGTGTTCATGTACAGTATTCAAGTATTTTTTAGGCTTCATTTCTATCTGAAATAGTGGATTTCACAAACCAGTATCCGTGGCTTTGGGCTGTGTACACCCTTGTGTTATTATTCCCCATAACACTGTTTGTATACTTCTGCATTTGGTCAAAGCAGGTAAATATGAACAAAAAATATCTCTTGCGAAAGTCTATAACCAATTACATAACTAACCCAATGTAATTTTTTAAATGTACACTTTTGGAATAAATTCCTTCAGCTTTTGAGAAGTATTGTAGAAGCATCATATGAAGTAAAACCAGTACAATAAATTAATTTTATTTTAATATCAAATAATATAAAAGCATTTATATATTTCTGATATTTGCATTTGATTAAAAAAAATTTTTTTTGATCTTGCTAAATTTCGATGGATGACAATTTTAGGATAAACATGATTTCCTTCCTTGTGGCCCACGTATTGACGAAGAAGATGAAAATGAAAGTCCAGAAGGAAATTTAGTCGAGGAAAACGCAGGTGATTCGAAAGACAATGAAGAGTTTTCAGAGCCCGCCAAAAATCCTCAAGAAGATGACAGACGAGAAAAGCGTGAGGGCTCAGAAGAGGTTTTTGATTTTCTCGATGGGGCTGCAGAGGAGAATAAGGAGGACAATGGCTCTGTAGATGGGGATCAGCCCGTTACTCTTCCTGATGATGAAAGCTCATTAGATGGCAAGGAAGAAGGCGAAGTGAAGAAAAGGAAACCAAGGAAACTCGATGATTAGATTCACAAAGGTAATGTGTGTTTTATTTAACACTTATTGTGTGTTATAAGGCAGAGATCTTCAGTTGCCTTTTCACTTCAAAACTTTGTGAGAAATATACTCACACATTAACCATATTACTTTTGATTTGTTTAGAGCTTACATCAAGAACTTGGGATTTAATTTTTCTTATTTTAGGGTCAGTGTGGAAATCTGAAAATGAAAACGAAAATATGATTTGATTGTGTATCACAGTAACTTTTTAATCGGCAGAACAATAATTTGTTATATAAAAGTAGATCATTATGTGAAACATGGTACAATGTATTTATATTATTTCATTTCAGATTTAAGTTTAAAAAAAATATCTCAAAACTTGTTCAGTAATAATTATAATAAATTAGGTTACTACATTTCCAAAGACAATATAATAGATGCTTTAAGAAGAGTTGTTTTCGTATAATTTATATCTTCATGGTCACTATCAGAATTATCTGTTTTGATCTCTGTCGAAAGTACATATTATATAACATAAAATTTGGAACATAATGAAAAGCTTGTTTTGAATGTTTCTTAAAATTATATTTATTATACTTACATATTTCGATTTTTTTTTTGTTTTTTTTTCAGGTTGGCCAATGTTCAACCAACTTGTTCATAATAATATATAGCAAAAACGAAGCTAATTTTGTTGATGTGATGCGGTTTCCTCTTTTCATGCATTTTGAATTTTATTTTTCTTTCCCATTGATATTTTTAGCATTTCGCATTTCCTTTTAATGTCATTTTTTTTAATTGAGTAGAATTGGGTTTATAGTTACCTAAGATTTCTTTCATTATTTGTGCACATGCTAATGAGTTTTTTCTGCAACTGCTAGTTAATTTACATGGCGTTAAATATCAACTATGAATGAAAGTTATGAAGGTAAGAAAAAAGACTGAGTTAGTATAAAATATGGGCTTTTAACGTGAATAATGAATACTGAGGTCAAGCGTTCAGTTTTGAAACGATTAATTAAAATATGTAACCGTACTAGTGTCCCAAAATATGATGGAGTAACAAGCAGTCATTTTTATGTTTTGGAACAGAAATAATTATTCGAATGTAGTTGAACGCAAATTGCAGGGTATTGATGGAAAAAATACCAACAGAGATTTTAGTTTATATCATTAAAATATTACTATAAACGGATAGCCGGATACACACATGTACCTGTTCATATAATATAACGATTTTTTTTCGAAGTCCTGATGAAGGCGATATATTCTGCCGAAAGCTCGACAAGGAAATAAATGTTGTTTTTGTCTTCCTGGCCTCATCCCCGATCTACCTTTAGGAAAGTGTATTACTATAAACAATTAATAATAATAACTAATAAAAAAATTGTGGTTTAGATTCTACTTAGAACTGCTACTTAGTCTTAAATTAATATTTTTACCAAAACATACAAAGTGATTTTTTTAATGATCTGATAATAACCGTATTCACAATATTTAGAACATTGTGTATAAGTTGCTGAGATAAAACCTATTAATTTAAATTTCCAAAAACAAAAAACAAAGTTACTTTGCCTTTAAGATATATATTAATAAAACAATATGGGATTAACAATCTCTCTTAAAAACAACATTAAATTAAGCAATAGAGAAAGGAAATTATATTAAAAAAACACTAAAACAATTAAAATTGTTTAAAATAAAAGGCTTACAGAATAATTTACTGTCCTTACAAGTTTGTTTAGAATGGTTTTGGGAAATGATACCAATATTAAAATATAGAATTCTTTAACACTGGTGAAAACGTTCTTAGAATTGCAAACACCCAGTGCACTTGATGAATCATGAATATTCTCTTATGTAAACATAAAAACTATCACAGCATTTTCATGCTTTCAAACTATTCGTTATTGTTTAGTTACTGTTTAGTTCAAACCTTTTATTTCCAAATAAATTACTTTGTTTGACTAAATTTTTGAAGTTGGGAATTTTTCCTTTACAAAAAATACATTAATCAATTATTCCATTATGTGCACCAAATTCAAATGGTGGTGTGTTAAATCAGTCTTAAATGAAGTCAAGTCTTTTTATCTTCACAAATAACTTATAAATATGTTTTATTTATTCATGTTATACATTCTAAAAGTAAATGTAATGTAAAATGTTAATGTTGTCTATTTTGGTATATGTTAATGGATGGTAGATCCAATGAGAAAGTCAGCAAGCATGTTTAAAACACTCAGATGAAGGGGACAAAAGTATGGACATTTGGGACACACAGCAGTTTTTTCAATGTGTATATAATTTTAAGTTTTTTTATTCATGTGTCAATAGCTTTTTAGTAATAGATAATTTATTGCCATTTAATAGAATTTATTTTGAAAAATTAAATATTATATTCGATTTGCTTTGTTAGCGTTATTATTAGTCAATCTCAGTGTTCGGCAAAATGGTAGTTTATTAAAATATCAGTCAACAGCAGTGAGTATAATCTAGCCATTTTTAAGTGGCATTTATTGTTGATTTTATTTATAAAATTGAGTAAATTATTATTTTATTTTTTTTTTAGTTTTTAATTCTATAATTTCCATGTTGAATTGTAAAGAGGCTATTAAAAAAATTTTTTAGATTAGTATTGTGAATTTTTTGAAAATGTGTGAAATATAATGATCTTTTTGTACGGATGTAAAAAAAAAGAAGTATGCATTGTATTTTTTACTTTTATAGTAACTTTTACATTACATTTTATTATATAAGTATGCTTTGATTTGAAATGTATGTGTTTGGTTCACTCATAAAAAATGTACTGCTTTCTCACCAGATAAGTGGGCAAAATAGTATTGGGTTAAATTAGGGTCACACATTATTTCCAATTTGCCATTTGCCACCACCATTAAACTCATCAAAACTAGTCAACATTTCTTTAACTTTATCTTTTTTCCTGTTTCATTGTTTTTTTTATGATTTCTGGTTAAACTATTTTAATGTTGAATCAACTTTATACCAATTAAGTTATTACAGTACCTCTACTGGTATAATATGTATTTTATTTTCTAATAAATTTTAAATGGTATTTCTCATAAATTACCAAATGTGTTTTTACTGTTTCGAACCATTTGCATGCATCAGTAGAACGGATTCTCCAGATAATAAATACAAGCATTCCATGGAAAGACCAACTTAGTCAAGTCCACATATGGACTATGTGAGTAATACTTGAGGATAGCTTAAGCTGTTGTAAATGTTGTGATAGGCTGCTTGTTGAATACCCCAAGGTTTTAAATATCGAAATTTGCGAACCACGTCTGTCCCTTAGAATTGATAGATTGGCTTGAAACTACTTATTTAAAATATATTCTTCCAACAGTCTATATATAAATTTTTTCTCTTTTAGCTTCAGAATTCAGGTAAACTCTACTTATTCAGAAATACCCCTTTAATTCTATTTTTCTAAGTGGTGTTAAATCGAAATGCTTATCTCCCTATTTAATTTTCAATGGCAGCTCAAAGTCAGTGGATAGAGTGGGGTGTGTCTGGTGGCCCTTAATTAGGTAGAAGTAAGATGTATAAGCTTCCATCTGAAATCAGTGTCTACTCAGTGGAGCTCGTTGGAATTTTGAAATCTGAACAGTATGCCTATGAAAATAAGCAAGTTGTGAATCAATCTTATTGAAGTACTCAAGAAGTTTGGAAATCCTAAAAAACCTCAATTTTAAGTCTGGCAGAAACCTTGGTGGCAAATAGAATCACAGAATTGTGAAAGTATAAAGGTACTAATACAGAAATGAATGAAAAATCAAATAGTATTGTTAAAAGGAAAATAAATAGGTAAGTGTGACCTCCCCACACATCGGTTGCGGCCGGGTCACCCTCTCGATCCTCTCGAATTCGTCTCTTTCTATGGCTAATGTGGAAACAAGGTAAAAAAATATGTTTTTATCAGCTTTTTCTGTGCGATAAAATGAGCCATCAACCCTCTCACATTACACATTCATACCAGTAAATTCATTCATTCTCAATATATGCTAGGGTCACAATTTGCTCATTCATAATTTCTATCACAGAAAGTTGTTGCTCGCTTAAAAACACTTTTCTATCCTACTTAATTAAATTTCGACGGGGTGGATGTAGAAAAGTTTGATGAATACGGGTCTTCACAAGAAACGTTCTTGTACCTAAGCCTTACGATTCAATTCAATTATTGTAATATTTAATAGTCAATCATAAAAATTATTGTTAGTACTATAATGTCATTTATTTATTCCTCTACATAATAATTATTAGGTTTTAGGTTTCATTTGCTTGAAAAAAGTTTCATTTGACTGAAAAAATGTTTCATTTGATTAAAAAAAAGGTTCATTTGATTGAAAAAAAGTTTCATTTGACTGAAAAAAGGTTTCATTTGATTAAGACAAAGGTTCATTGATTGAGAAAAGGTTTCATTTGATTGAAAAAAAATTTCATTTGACTGAAAAAAGGTTTCATTTGATTAAGACAAAGGTTCATTGATTGAAAAAAGGTTTCATTTGATTGAAAAAAAGTTTCATTTGACTGAAAAAAGGTTTCATTTGATTAAATAAAAGGTTCATTTGATTGAAAAAAAGTTTCATTTGACTGAAAAAAGGTTTCATTTGATTGAAAAAAAGTTTCATTTGACTGAAAAAAGGTTTCATTTGATTGAAAAAAAGTTTCATTTGTTTGAAAAAAGTTTCATTTGACTAAAAAATGCTATAAGAATAAGAACAGGATACTTGCTTCCATGGGCAAGCATGATTCTCACATTGGGTGGCATTATATGGAGCCAAGGAATTCCACCCTTTAATTAGATGGGACACATCGAGCAACCCTTCTCTACATGCCAGACACATACTTGGTCAACGAGTAAGTGTCTGTGAGTCAACCTTGCATGGCCTATTGTTAATCTAGTGAGGATGTCTCTTCTACAAGTTTGGTCCTCTGAGGGCCACCTGTCAATCATATTCTTCACATATGAGAGCTTCTCTGCCGATCTAGCCCCACTGACACTGGCATTTGGCCTGTTTAATCTTGATAGTTTAATCTTGTTTTATTGCAGTATAGCATCAGAGGGCCGGATCGTGGTGGTTTAAGTCTGGAGATAGGGACGTCCCAGCCTTAGCCTGTCTGCCTTTTCATTACCCTCCACGAAACATATTTCCAGGAGTCGCATCCGGGTCTTAAGTTGCTTGTATATTATCACACCTAAAAGCAAATGTCTCAGTCAAGGAACCCTGCCGCCTCGCTGAGAGTAAGCCACTCTTTCCGAAGTTCGGGCAGCAGCGCTCCCAGCTCGCAAGTCAAAGGGCTTGTTCTAAATGCTCTGTAGACCGCTTGATTTTAATTGTTGATATTAAATGTAATAAATAGAGGTGGGAAATGGGGTTTGGAATAAAAAATACTTTAAGAAAATAGCTAATATGCATTTCATAAAAATATAGTATAAACTATATACATTTTTGATTATTCTATATACTCCATAGCTGTACAAAAGTCGATTGTCGTTATTCTAGTAGGAAAAGTTAATTTAACTGGGACCTGCTTTGTCACTTTTATTGGCCGATTTAATTGAAGTTTTGGGAATTTATTTTTACAATGTAAATATTTTTTGATATGGAGGAGAAGAGTTTTCCACCAAACTCTAGCTAGAGGAGGACTCGACGGTTCTGTGTTAAAATGGTTGTAGTGCCTTTCACATATTAGTAGCTTCTGATCAACTTTTATATCCTTATGTTTCGATTCAAAAGTAGGAGCAGCTAATTTGTCGATTTCCACCTGAAAGGAAATACGTTTTAGTTTAAATGTTGACATCGATAAATTAGGCTTTCACCTTTGGCCTCAGTTTGGTTTCCTTTAGAGAAAATGAAAACGCTCTGGCAGCCTTTTTCTTAGTTAATTTGACATTTGTTGAATCTCCCTGCCTTCCAAAGAGTCCTCTTGCCTCTGCCATATTAATCATATATGTCGGGTCCAAACGTGTCACTTCCTTTTGCACATTTTGGCAAAATTACTTGAAAATTTAGTATCATTACCGACATACTAGATCGTTATTTTCAAAACGGTGTTATACGACTTAAAAACCACATATCACCTAGTCTAAATTGGATTAACACTTATAAAAACATTTTGAACAAAATAAATTTGGTTCAGAGGCAGATCCGTGTAAGCTTTGTTGTTTAAAGAGAATGTTACACATTATATCAATAAAAAATATAGAATAATAAATAACATGTCAGGAGAAGATTCTCTAAAAATTATGGAGAACAGAAATATAAAATCTTATTGTTTCATACCTTTCTTTTAAGTAAGGCCAAGTAGATGCCTTCACTGCCGAGCTGAAGACACTCCCCCTCATCAGGACAAATGTCGGGTAGGCATGATACTTCATAAAGATCACAAAGTGGTACCTGGAATGTAGATTTTTAGTAATAACGCAGCTTGCTGTTTCATTCAAATATAATAGCTCTCAGTACAAGAAATTCATTACTTATGAGTTGACAGTAATCACCTGTACAATGATTTCTTCGGAAATCTGGGGTTCTGACGATTCATCGGTTTCTGGTGCTTCTTGAGGGTTGACGTTTTCAATGTGTTGGCCTTGATTTTCTTCGTAGTGTTTGTCAGCTGCCCATTGATTAATTTCATTCACCGCATCACTAACCATTTCATTATTCTCAGTGAGTGATCTCGACTGCGTTTCATACAAAACAGCTTGTATCTGTAAACAGAGATATTTAAAAAAGAAAGAAAAAACGAGCTATTTGTACACTGGGGTGAAAGTTAGTAACCTTAAAAGGTAATTAATGAATTTAGAGTCGTGGATTGTGTTTGGAGTATGTGTTTATGTTTTAAAGTCATTAAACAACTTAAACATACTAAAAACAGAGCTGAATTTATAGCATTTCAAAACTGTAAAAATGAGCTTTCAAAGTAAATGATATTTTGTATCATTTATTAACATACAGACAGTTATGATAATGCACGGACAGGCAAAAAATTCCATCCAATTGATTTTTTTTTTCATTTTCTCGATAAAAGAAAATTCTACCCTTAATTTGTCTCATTGTTTTTGTCAATAAATATTTGTTTATGCTGTTTTAAATTGGGAATATCAGTAAGAGGTAAACATACTTAATCCTTAATCCAAATCAAGGATAAAGGATTTTTCTATGTTTACTTTTTATAGAATTTAAAATGATAATTCAGTCTCATTTGAATTTTGAAGCAATAAACTGTTTAGTTTTCATATTTATTTTCTTAATTTAAATGTTTAAATGGCCCGGTTCTGGACACCCTAGTGTAACAGAACCACAGGATGACTGTTTATTTGACTTTGAGAATTTTGCAAAACCAGCACCTTAGTGTCAGCTCCAGGAAGTTCGAGGTGTCCAAATTTCTGAACGCAATGCTCGAAGAAGATTAAACGGCTTTTTAAAAAGCTTTTTGCTTAAGAGGACAGAATTGACCAGCGTTTGGTTAGGGATGGTTCCAGAAAACACAGAATTGCACGGCTCGTATTTGCTTGAGAACACAGCCATCGGTCGTTGGACAATTGGTCTGCTTTACTTTTTACAGATGAGTCTAGATTTGCTCTACGATCTCCAGATGGGCGTGAAAGAGTGTGGAGAATGCGAAATGAAAGGTTCGAAGCTTGTAATTTTTCCCAGAGCCAACCTTTTCAACATAGCTCTGTGATGGTTGGCGGGAATTTCAGTGGAGATTCCCACAGAGTTGGTTTTGATCGTGGAGGGTCTTTGATAGTCACTCGCTATGTGGATGATATTTTGGAACATCGTGCGTAGCCTATCCTCGATGAATCAGTGACAATCCTATTCTAATGCACGATAATGCCCCAATTCGCTAGTACAATGTACCTTCAACCGCATAACATCAGGGTCTTAGCCTGGCCAGCCCGTTCTTTAGACTTGAACCCCACCAAACATTTATGGGACAACCTCAAAAGACAAGAGTAATCATCCTTGTGTGCCTCCAGTAACGAAAAGTTCAGGGTCACTGAATACTGGTCCATATAAAATCTTTCAATGTTTTAAATGAGCAAGGGCTTGAGTTCTGTACATATTTTGATAATCATGGTGCCAGCGTCCTGAGTTTGCTTACACTTTGGGTTAGTGCCAGTGGAGTTCCTGTTCTGTAAATAAGCTGGCAGAGCTAGAAAGCGCTGAAGCTTAAAGAAATTCATGAGGTGGAAGCGATTGAGGATGAAAATAAGCACATCACTGAAGAGAAGAGAACACTCTTTTGAATATAAAGTTCTATTACCATTAATAAGTTTGCATGTAATAATTATTAGAATTTTTTCTGAACATAAAAAATATCTAAAATAACACTTAGATTGTGACAGAACCTTGCAACAATGCAATAATTAAATCTTCTAAAAATTATTTAAAACCCTACGGATAAGGGTATGGTGGACATACTTTACTTCAATGTACTAAGCATTGTATGAAGTACACAAGGACTGCACTCTTGCATAGTTAGTACAAGGTGGAAGAAATTAGTGATTTAGGGGTTGCTGAATTTTTTTCATTTTATCTAGTCAAACAGTAATTATACTGTAAAAAAATTAATAAATAAAGGTGGAATTCAAAGTTACTCCTTATTACCAAATCCTAAAAGATAGGTGCGACAATGATTTCTCTGAGACAAATCCAGGCTGGCATACCACAAGGGAGCGTTCTTGGTCCCATCTTATTTACCATATATACTGCTGACTGGCCGATAATCCCATCACCAACCTTACAGCCTACACGGACGATACTGCAATTTTTTCTCTTAAGTCCAATCCTACCCAAGCTACATCTAATATCCAGGAGCATCTTGAGCTCATTGAAGGATGGGGCAAATCATTGAAGATGAAACTGAATGAGAAAATTAATATGTTCACGTTAATCAAATAGCCTTGCCCATGTCTATACAGAAATGGTAAAGAACTACCGATGTCTACACAAATAAAATCTTAGGGCTATATTAAACAGTAGACTGACGTGGAATCTTTACGCAGGACTCAATGACTGGGACAACCAAGACTTATAGGGCCGAAATCAGATATGGCATTAAAAAAACCAACTCTGTACAAAACATTACATTGATTTATTTGGACATAAAAAGCAGTACTGTGGGGTACCACCAAGCCATCTAATGTCCAAAGAATCCAAACATTCCAATCAAGTCCTCAGAAGAATTCTCCAGACTCCTTACTATATCTCCAACTTAACTATCCACAATGACCTTAACATTATCATTGTTAAAGAATTGAGCCATTCCTACATCAACTTTCACTCCCCTCTCTTTCAACCCATCCTAACCCACTGCTCAAGCTCTCTCCTCTACTTCCCATCCCAAGAACATTCCATGTTGCTTCAAACGACGATGACCCCGAGACCTCATCACCCTTAACCAGATAACCAACTGAGTGCCAGCACTGGCTGCCTTCTCATAGCATGTCTGGGTGCAGTACTAGCCGTAGTGTTACTATTTTGCCCGGGATTTTATAGCATTAAGAACAATTTGTAATGTGTATAATGTCCAGGATACAAATAAATATTGTAATAAAAAAGCTTTTAAGAAATACACTACCAGTGGGTTGTGTTAAGAGATTTTTTTAAATGTTATTGTATGGTTTTGGTGGTCAATGATAAATCTAATGTGTGGTGATTAGTGACCGTTAATCGATAATTATTCAGAAATCATGAGATGCGGTCTGGTGTGATGTAGGTTTCAGAAAAACATTTTATCGTGCCAACGTTTCGATCTTTATTGAGATCATCTTCAGGGCCTGGGATTTACAAACATTGTTTACATTTAACAAATACATTTAGGATGTGGAAAAGTGAATTTATACAATGCAAAATATATTTTTTATATTCAATCCCACCCCCTGAAGATGATCTCAATAAAGATCGAAACGTTGGCATGATAAAACGTTTTTCTGAAACCTACATCACACCAGACCGCATCTCACGATTTCTGAATAATGATAAATCTAATGATTTTTTTTTTCTTTAAAAACCATTAAGTAGTAAGTTGTATAACAAATAAAACTCTGGGATTATAACTTGCCCTAGTACTTAATCGACATACAATAAATACATTTATTGCACAAAAATAAATGATTATTCATGATGTGATATATTTCGTCTTGTTTATTTATAATCGTACAATAGTATCACATACTTGTGGCATAGACATTGCCTTAAGGAGCGTATTTCTTTGAACATTTAGTATGTTTTCATTGATCTTTTCATTCTTGTAATGTTCAGTCAGGGCATACATCACAGTAAAATCACCCCCTCTTGAAATAGCCACATCAACCGGGTTAGTAATAGAGGTGTTCGAACTAGGCGGGCATGCCATCACAGCAATAACATTGTGCAATACTCGATTTTCTGGAGATATACTCGCAAATTCTTCTGAAAAAATTGACACATTGAAAGCCCCGATATCATGGAAATATTTCTCATATTCAGTTTTCCTAAAATTAAAACAACACGATTACAAATCAAAATATGCAAAACATTAATTCTTAAAAATGAAAATGCGATATGAAAGTTAAAATCTGCACAGTAAACATGAAAGTATTTTTAGTAAACTCACTTTTGTCCGGTGCTAAAGATTAATAGCTGATCGATATTTGGATTGTTGGCGATCATGGAAGCAAAAAAGGCAGTTGAAGGTGGAGTTATAATGTGCGTCTGAGCCACAGAGCCACATAGCTCTAATTTCTCCATTACCTTTAAGAACATCACAGCTCCAAGGCACAGAGATTTATCCTGAAAATTATTAAAGTTTGGATGAGTAGACAATTTAAAAAGGAATGGAAAATATTGACAGAAAATTTTTATTACATTAAACATATAAAATTAAACCATTAAATACTTTGTATATTTCATTTTACCATACAAATCAATTGTCATTTAATTATTTTGATTATATGGCTCTTGTAGGAAGTTAGTAAGAAAAAAATTATAACATGCTATTTTTAATTTTTGAACACAACAGTTTGTTGTATTTTAGTCAATATTTGTAATACACTCACTTGAATTATGAAATGTTTTTTTGTAACTAGGTCGGGATTTAAAATATTTTCTCTGTTTTTGTTATAGCAGTGAATGTATCTTGGCACGATATGGTCTTTTATGAAATTGTCATTTGGATCTTGGTCACTGTCATCCTTCAGTTCTGTTTCCAAACATTTGAAAAAAGCAGATTTCCTGGGGGACAAAAAAAAATTGACAAATTCTTACGACCAACGACTAAAGCTTTAACTTACTCAATTTTAAAAGTATTTATCCACCCTCCGATAACCGGCCCATTTGAAATTTTGTGCGTGATCTGCAAGTGAGGCGGTAGCATGTCTTCTAGTATGTGAGCTCTGTTCTTTATTCTTAATCGGGATATAGCAGCTGCCAGTTGAACTTTATTGATCCAGAGTGCAAATTCAATTTCACTCAAGTTTTCTTTATTAAACAACACTTCCAAAGAAGACTCCATAGTGTCTCTTAGTAAAAAATCTCTTCTGTATAAATCAAAAACTATTACCCATACTTTCCAAGGATACAGACCAAACTATAAGAAAAAATATTTAAATTACAATAAACAATGTTCGCACATATGAAAAAACTGTGTGGGATTATTTTATAAATGAACTATATTTATAAACTTTTAAATCTCTCTAATATATGAAGTTATAATGGAATTATTTTAATTGTACTTCACATACCTGTGGGTAAGTTTTAAAGAACTCAATATCCTCTAATGCTTCTTGCAGTATAGGCTTAACTATGAATAAATGTTAAATTTTATTTTTAAGTGCATGTGAAACAGTTACACAGTTTCTCTTACAGCGCAAAATGTCGAATGCTAATGTGTAAACCCTCCTTAGCTGCTCTTGGTTTTTCCCTATTAAAGCATGAGCCACCAAGTTCTTTTCAGAAAGAGTGAGTAATTGGCTGGTGAAAATTAAATCTTCACGGGTCCAAGTTATTGGAAGTGCGGTGTCTGAATTAATCTCTGATTCCAACTTGGGCTGTTTGACACACGTTGGTTGTGCTTCATCTTGTTCACCAGATGAAGTGATATGTTTGTACTTCCTTAAAAAAAGTTGTTAACATTAAGTGTGTTCATAGGTAAATTAAAGGTCAATTTTATTATATATTAATTTCAATCATCAAATTGAATAAAAGAAGATATTACAAAAACAGCATCACATTACTACTTAAAATTAACAAAAAGTATGATAAAATAACCATAAAGTACGAAAATTTGTGGAGCAGTTTGGCCTTAATTTTGATCGGAGTTCTGAACATTCACCTAACTATATTCAATAAAACGACCAAGTGAAACGAGAAACTGAATACCAAATTATTCACTTACAATGCTTTATTAGCCTATTACAGATGATTTCAGGTTATGTCGGCCAAAAATATATGAAAATCTTTATGTTTTTAGTTGGTCCTAGTAAACCAAAGTAATGATGGTTTATAATTTTGATGTAAGGAGTGGTTGAGATGAAAAATTAGTGTCACGAGTGGGGCTCGAACCCATGACCTCTGGCTCTATACCACAGTGCTCTAAACACTTGATCTATTGTGACTTTGGTCCCTCGGGACACCAACTCATCAGTTACATAAAAATTAATCAATCTAATTTTTTCTTTGGTTAACCAACTAAAAAACGTATGGATTAATTTAATAATTACTGAAGTACCTGCACTTTGCCAACAGCTACCTGTGGCCACTTAATGTGACCGACAATGGAATCTGATTACACGAAATTTGAATATAAGCCAAAAAGAGGGAAACTTGAAAAAGTTGTAGGTTGCGATGGGAAGGTGATGTCACCAAAGGCACGACAGATCAAGTGGTTAGAGCACCGTGGTATAGAGCCAGAGGTCATGGTATCGAGTACTGCTTGTAACACTAATTATTCATCAAAATTATAAACCAATCATTACTTTGGTTTACTAGGTTCAACTAAGAACACAAAGATTTTAATATATTTTTGGCCTACATAACCTGATCAACTATAATGGCTGCATTACAGCATTGTAAGTGAATAATTAGGTATTCAGTTTCTTGTTTCACTTGGTTGTTTTATTGAATATAGTTTGGTGATTTATTGATTCTCCAATTAATTCGTTTATTTCTTGCTCTGCATTTCGGAGCTCAGCTGCCAGCTTCTTTTTTGGAGTTCAAACCTTATTCCTTACTTCAAACCCACAAAGTAAGGTTCGAACTATGCAGTACTATTGTAGACTATGCAATGAGGAGGAAGAAACAACCACCCACATCATCTTCGAGTGTGAAGCAACCACTCAATGGAGACATAACCTGGGGTACAAAGAAAACCCAGGAAAAGGAATCGTAGCAACGACAGTAATGACCTAGTACTTTTTAAGAGAAGAATTGAGTCGATTGCACTGAACTTGAAATTAGGAAAAGTATAATAAGCCAAAAAGCTACAGTACGTGGGGAATACAAAACCTCTGCTTTTTTTGTACATCTTCGAATATGAAGCAACAACACAATAGAGACATAAACTGGGGTACAGAGAAAACCCAGGGAAAGGAATTGTAGCGACGACAGTAATCACCTAGAACTTTTTAAGAGAAGAATCGGGGGAAAATCGACTTCGTAGAATGGAAGCATCATCATCATCGTTAACAATAAACGAATTAATTGGTTGAAGCAGTACTTCAATATAATTCATCTAAGTATTCAAGCGTATACTTTAGAAATCTATTCCTGAGCCATTGTCACGTATTTGTAAACTCTTTTTAACTCCATTTTATTCTTTATTCGTGTATGATTGCAGTCTTTCTTTCGCAAAGTTTTCGAAGCATAATGCTTTCGTTGCATAATGCGTGGTTTCCATTTTATTCGGCATGGATGTAAAATTAGTTATTCCATAAGGAAAACGAGAAGTTGTAAATATAAATTAAAATGGGTGAATCCAACACCAGATACACCGATAGGGTGAGGGGTTTTACGGGCTGTGCGTTATTCAGACTTCGCGTGTCTGGTGCGGCTTAAGCTTTATGGGACGATGGCGGTAATGTTGTACGATTTTCCTAAGTTGGGAGGTGTCCGTAAAATTTACAAAGATCATTCTTTTTCTTGGCGAGGTTGATTTTTGAAAAACGCGGTCCGGTTGAATGGTGAGTTCCATTTGGAAGTCCAATTGAACATCGAAACCTCAACTTGTTTTAATTAGATTAACTTATTTTTTAGTTTTATGTTTGTCATTACGGCATCTTAAATAAAGACATTATTTAAAATTCGATACACACAAATTTTATTTGTTTGTTAGACTGTTATGGGCATTACATAGTTTTTAATATTATAACAAGTAAATCAAAAGCACTGATATTCAACTTATTAGCTGGATCAATCCTTATTTAGTTGTACTGTACTACTTTTAAATGATATTAACAAATATGTAGGGGGCCGCGGTAGCCGAGTGGTTGGGTGTCCGACTCGTATTGCCACACTAAAGGTTCTGCGTTCGAATCCCGGCATGCCCCATGGATTTTTAATTGTGAGTAATATGTTAGGTTTGATCCTCGTCAGCGACACCCACCCAACCGGTAGTTGGACGTTAAGCCCCTCCTGTAAAACAGGAATTATTTTATTTCATTTTCAAATATGTATAAAATATAAAAATTTAAATGTAAGTCGGTTGACATTCGAAATCGTTATTAGAAGTGTTATTTTTAGAAAACGGTCAGTAAGTTTTTCTAAACGGCTTTATGTTTTTCATATTAGCCAGAGAACGGTTCTCTGGTTGTTTTATACGGGGGAAGGGGAGCGTGATAGAAATTCCAGAGGCGACGGTCGGAATCGAACCCACGACCGGATCTATCCACTCGGATACCGCACGGTAAGTAATAAATCCATTATTTCTTCATATCATAGACAGTTTACTATTGACCGCTATTCTACCCGTTATACAGACGCTCTTTTTCAGAAAATATATCAAGAAGCAGTTATCGAATTGCTTACAGTATGAATTTGAACGAATACTGGGTATCATTATCAACAAGTACATAATGATTGTCGATTAATTAAAATGGTGAGCTTATTGGTGTTGAACGTTGGGAAAAGTGCCTGGATATTTTCCTATCAATCTAACTGTAAGACATCACGGTTTAACGATTGCATTCACTTAAGACAAAATGCTTGTTTTATTTATATTGTTTGTCTTAATGAAATTAAAGGATTTTACCTTAAAAATGCACGATACATGGTTGAGGCAAAAGCCAAGTGGAAAAAGTATTATTCAAACTCTATAACATTCACATTTGAGTCTCAGGTTGTAAACAATATAGATCGTGCAGGCTCGGGTAGTCGGCGAGCATCGAGTTAAAACGACTTGACTATTGTTTCTTTTAAAAATTAAGAAAATTAGTGTAGGATTTATACATATATTTTAATGCGAGCGACTGGGAAACTTGGGTAAATACGTAGGACAGATTTATCTTTATAGAAATGAATGGTGGAGTGAGTGGGGTGTTCAGTCTTTTTTAAAAAGATAGTTCCTACTCACAATAAGTTGTTTTCCAACGATCCGGATTTCGGGATTTTAGCTCATCATCAGGTTGAAGGATTGTCGAGAGACGTGGTTGTAGAACTCCTTCAATCTGATGATGAGGTAAAAGCCCGAAATCCGATCGTTGGAAAACAACTTACTGTGAATAGGAACTATCTTTTTAAAAAGGATTTATGTTTTTTGATTTACCCTTTCCTCCTATTTTGAGGAGAGAACAAATACTCGGTTTTTATCTGCACATATCGCTTTGGGAGATGCCATTTTACAAAAGCAAAGCCGAAAATGTTCAATATTGATTGAAAATTGCCAGCTAATCGATCTTGTTCTCTTTCAGCTAACATGGAGAGAATTTTCTTGAATCCCCCCAGTTTTTCTGTGGGCAATAGGTGCAAGTTCCAACAATAATATTGCTAGGCTGATAAAATCTTCAAATTACCATCATTCTATCAAGATTATAGATATGAGCGATATGCCCAGTTCAATTTGAACAAAGGGTAGAAAAACATCGTGCCATATAGCCAAGCAACTATCACAGCACTAAGTTCAAACATCATTAGCTCAAAGATGGTGCTTAATTGCAGAATTAAACTAAACAGATTAAGCATGCAAAAAAAGATCACCGCTGGGTCCCAGGACGTGTAGGAGTAGATGGCAAAGAGAAAGCAGACGCCCTTAAGGGTCATCGAACATATACTATCCAAGAAACTTTCGACAAGTTTTGGAAGAAAAGAAACAACAGAATGAATCAAAAGAAACAGGAAAACGCTTCGAATCCTAACAGGATTCTAACAGGACACTGCAGACTGAATGGGCATCCGAAGTAGATCGGTGATCCAACACGGCAAGTGCGGGTTCTGCAGAGTAGCAGAGGAAACACGAACACACATACTCACAAACTGTGGCACCACATTTCCCCGTAAAAGGAAGTGTTGTGGGATGTACAACTTAACTGTAGAAGAAATTTTACTACTGGGATCTGGCCTACTAAACAAGTTGCTTGATAAACTTGGGCTCACCGGTGTGCTATAAGCACAGAACGGGGGATATAACTCTTAAAAGGCGCAGTAAATTACACCAAGAATGATTCATCTACACATCTACCTAGGTTATTCATGAAAATTATATATACATACAGATGTGATTTCATGATCGTAATGTTAAAGACTTTCGTTCTTTTAAAATTTATTTGGATTAAAGCTGATCGTTTTCAGTAAGTTCTCTTGCACATTAGTATGAATATTATTTTCTGAAACAATTAACAAAATGATTATTCGGAGATAGCTAGATTCGGTCTGGTGTGTCGAAGGTTTTAGAGAAACATTTTCTTTATCGTGCCAACGTTTCGATCTTTATTGAGATCGTCTTCAGGGCTCAAAGTTTTTGTTTTCCGTGTGTCATACTTGTGTGTCGTGTTGAGAGTGCGACACACAAGAATGATACATATACACGAAAAACAAACACTTTGAGCCCTGAAGATGATCTCAATAAAGATCGAAACGTTGTCACGATAAAAAAAATGTTTTTCTAAAGCCTACGTCACACCAGACCGCATCTCACAATCTCCGAATAATCATTGTCTAACGGTCACTAACCACCACACAAATTAACAAAATATTTTATACACTTTTATAGCACTTGCGAAAAATTTATGTTTACATACTTTATTGTTTCATGGATTAAGTCTTAAGTTACTTGGTATATTTAGAATTTTTAAGTTGTAAAACCTTTTTCATAAAATATTTTAAAGAATGCGATGTTTATAGAACGAGCTGAAAATAAAGAAAGAAGAAAAATTTCAATGAAAGTGTGTCAAATCTTATACAAAATTGTGTTTTAAATGTTAGCAGACATCCTCAGGGTTGATGTTTTCTCTGCGGTTAGAAGCGGTCACTATACACAAAAGTAAATAGACTCACGTGTGTATAAAAGCTGAACGCTCGTTTTTGTAGAGAAACTGTTTGTACCTAACTAACTCCGTGCTGTAAACAAGCGACTTCCAGTTGTTGCTACTGGGGAGTCGTAAATCAAACTTAAAATGTGGCGCGGGCCCGGACATTTCCCCAGGAGGGCCTAGGTATAAATGGAGTAAGAATTACGTGGGTAAGTTGATTCCACCCCGACGATGAAGCTCCACTAATCGAAAGTAGTTGTCATTTCGCCAAGTTGAATTGCTGGGTAGCACGATACCGAGGTGGGCCAAATGGGCCGTCAGCCCCCCCGGATCCGTTAACGACACCTCCTCCTTCTCCATCGCTAACGACCTCCTACACCTAAACACACAAAGTTTTATTAAAACGGATAAACATATTTGTAAATAACACTCGATTCTGTTTGGGACAATTTTCATCGCCCATGAAGCAAACAAGTCAAATAGAAAATTTACATTTAATTCGTCGGCCATATCGTGCGACTTGTCTGTTAGAAATTTGCACACTGCGTGTAAACATATAAATATAGTAAATTTATTTTCTCAAAATAATGGAATAAATTAAACTCAGTTGACGCAACACTCATCTATTTACAAGTTAATTATTGTCATTAGATTCACTAATTTCGTGGTCCTCAAATCATCTCAAATTCAAAAGGTGCGGTTAACATGGGAAGCTGGTGTCCGAGTGGATCGAGGTCACGATAGCTCAAGTGGTAGAGCAGCGGCGTATCAAGCCGAAGGTCGTGGGTTCGAATCCCGTTCGTTCCATTGACTTTTTTATCTCAATTAAAAACCTTAATTAATTGTAATATTGTCATTAGGTTCAAATGAGGTAAGTATTACGGACACGGTATGATACATATTCGAGTAATATGTACTAATAGGCGAATTCAACCTAGAAATGTAGAGGGAGCTTTTAATAACACTTCGTATAAACCATTTTTTCTAACCTTAGACCCCTAAGGTTCGAAAATTTATTTAGTACCTGATGCTATAGTGATTTCAGGTATTATCCATATACAATTAGTTTAATACAATTTTACTAACAAAATTAATTAAGGCTTCAATGTGGTCTTTAATCAAAATGTTATGGTCTGGTGGCCATTGTCCATCTTTACATACCACGTCCCTATTAGAGCTTTTCGACGTGGTTCTTGAATGGGGCAGTCGAATAAGATGTGGTCCCATGTTTGTTGAGGACTCCCTGGACAGTCGCATTCCGCATTCCTGTGTTATGTGAAATCTACAGAGATATTCTCGAGTTCGTCCATGGCCGCTTATAAGTTCGGTAAGCATATGGTGGTATTTCTGTTCTACTGGCATTCTCGATCTAGTTGGGAAGAACATTTTAGTTTGAAGATCTTTAGTAGTACGCCTCCAACGTTCTTCCTTCCCATTGGGCCAATGTCATTTTCGAGGCCATGGAGAGCTTTTCGGCACTACTGTGACTTGTTTCGAGTTTAGCGGTTTCTGTGGCTTCCTTTGTTGCTGAGTCGGCTTCCTCATTACTTTGGATCCGCCGGTACTTTTTCACTACTGATCTTCCAGCCATTATCACGCAATGATTTTATAATTTGTCTGATGTCGGATACCATCAGGCTTCGTGTTTTGTAATTTTTAAACTTATCAATGGATATGCGGCTGTCTGTCATCACTATCGCGTTTTTGTTCACTTCTTCAACATCTTGCTGTGCGAGCCATTGAAGAGCCTTCAGGATAGCAACGAGTTTAGCTTGGTTGTTCGAGCACCAGCTAGGTAGTCCAATTTGTATTGTTTCTTGCAGGATGTTGTCTTTGTCTTCCGTATAAACCATTGGAACCGCTGTGAAAAGGAAACGACCCTCCGACTACCAACTTACCAATTCCAAGAAGTCGGTTAATAAGCGCTGAACTTGGTCATCAGACTATACAAATAGCACCTACCCAAGGATGCCCACAAGGAGAAGTACTATCGCCAACTTTTGGCTTGCTAGTAGTAGTTGATCTAATTGAAAAGGTTAGGATACCCTATCGTACGTTAAGCAGATGACCTGGTAGTAATTATAAAAGGGAAATTCGATGACAATGTCAAATCAGGTGCAAAACGCCCTAAATATTGTAGGAAGATGGTGTGAGAAAATTGGTTAAAACATAAACCCTAAGAAAACATATCTAATACTTTTTAGAAGAATGATGCTACTTCTAAAAGCACTCACTATAAAAGATGAAACCTTAACTTTCTCCAAAGAATAAGGTACTTAAGTATAACCCTTGACCAAATGGCTCAAATGGAGAAAACAGATAAGTAATTCTGCATAAATTCAAGGCTCTATTAAGCATTATGCGCAGATTAAGCAGCAAAAACTGGTGAATAAACCCTAGACAAAACTCTTCAGGGAGGATCTAATATTTTGCTATCTTGTATAGGAATTACTACACTTATATGCTGCCTTACCACAAAAAAATAGAAAAAAAATATTCCAGGAGCATATTTTTCAATCGTATCATATTTTATTGGAAAAAATTAGTAAAATTTTTAAACAAGAAGGTTTTAGAATAGTTTTTAGAAGTACGGGTTCACTTAAAAACATCCTCTCAAAATTTAAAGATAAAGTAGACAACTTGGCAAAAAGCGGGGTTTACCAACTCAATTATAATGATTGTGACATTAAATATATAGGACAAAGCGGTAGAGAAATAAAAACAAGAGTAAAAGAACACTTGCCTAAATCGAGCAAATTTTCGGAATTTAAGGACCATCTAAAAGAAACAAAACATAATTTCAATTCAAATCTAAATACAAGAGTGTTACATAGTTTCAACAAAGGGAAAGAATTAGATTGGTTTGAGAAATTTGAAATTAAAAAATGTAAAATTGAACATGGTGATAAATGCATTAATAATTTACAATTAATTAAGGTTTTTAGTTGAGATGAAAAAAAGTGAATGGCACGAGCGGGATTCGAACCCACGATCTTCGGCTAGATACGCCGCTGCTCTACCACTTGAGCTATGGTGACCTCGAACCACTCGGACATCATCTTCCTATCTCCACCCCACCTTATGAGTTTTCCCTCAAGTGGTAGAGCAGCGGCGTATCTAGCCGAAGATCATGGGTTCGAATCCCGCTCGTGCCATTCACTTTTTTTCATCTCAACTAAAAACCTTAATTAATTGTAATGTATTAGTTGGTCAAGCGGACCACGAAATTAGTGAATTTAATCCATTAATAATATAACAGATTTTAATCTACCTCCCATTTTAAATATGTACATAAATAATATCAAACATCCAAATAATTAAACTAATTATTGTAATTGTTATTATCTTTATAGTAATTTAAAAATATTAAGTATTTACTAGTATAATATTTATTTGTGTTACAATTTCCGCGTTTCGCACGTTCAAATTGAGCGCCATTAAAAAAATCAGCTGCTAATTGGNATATTTTTTTAAATTATTTTTTAATAACAAATTTTATGTTCTGTTAGCTTTTAAAACTTATAGTCCGACCTCCGGCAGACTGTTCATCCATTTACGTAAGCCAAAAAATACGTAAATCCATTGGCGTTATGTGCTTTGTATTATACATGGTTATACAAATATAAAAATAAAATATTAAACATAGTTATGTTCTAAAAGATTATTTTCATTTCTTTACTTAATAAAGTACTTTTTTCATTCATTCATTAAGGATGAGGATGAAGTTTTGCTAAACGGCACAAAACCTAATTAGCCGTTGTTAAAAAAGAAAAAAAAACACGAAAAAACGTGATTGTTTTCCTTGTTGCGTGTCAAAGAAATTGGTCTAAGCGGAGAGCTTTTGACACTTGCAAACTAAGTTTGTCTTACAATTTTTTTCGTGTCAGCGCCGCTTTCGTCGATTCCTTTTCAAAAGCTCTCGACAGCCTCTTGACAAATCAGCGACTCTTCTTACAGTTAAACTGGCGTTACGTGTATGCATCGAGTTTCAGGTAGTAAAAGGTATGTTTTTATCTTATCGCGAGGCACACAATCTCTCTGTCAAACACCGGTAAGGACTATTACCGGTGATACTGAAGGTTACACTGTCAAAAAATCCACATAAGAAAGGATAGCGAAGCAGCTATTAATAATAAAGCATTAGCATGTAACAAAATCACATCAAAATTAGTCAATGAATTCATCCAAAATCTCCAAAACCTGGGGAAACACAGCCTGATAATATCTCGGGTACCAGGACACAAAGGAATTTTGGGTAAGGAAAAGGCAGATACATTGGCCAGAGTGGGATGTGGAAGACCTATATAGAATGAATATGTATATTTTAGCGAGAGTGTTTGTGGAGGAATCCACCAAACTAGATTAGTTATTTTATCGTCCTGTATGAATGTATTTATTAGCGTGATTTGTTCAGTGAGTGAGTGCGTGTTAGCGGGTTTGTTGTGTAAGTACACCTCGGTCTTTCATGCTGAAATCATGCCATCAATGCTTGTGTCTTAGAAAAGGCCAACCAACAAAACCTAGCGAAAACAACTTGATATCTTGGGTACAAGGAGCAAAGGAATTATGGGCAACGAAAAGGCAGACACACTGGTCATAGGAGGATCTGCAAGACCATATAGGCCCTGAACCTATTCCTGCGTTAACAAAAAACAAACATGGAATCATCCATCACAGAATGCATTCAAAAAAGACAAAAGGACAGTCACTGGCATTTGAAAAAACATCTACCTAATATGGATATATTCAATAATGACTACCATCTGTAGGTTATGCAATGAGGAGGGCAAAACAGCCACCTAAGTAATATTCGAATCCGAAGCAACCACTCAATGAAAACATAACCTGGGATACAAAGAAAATCTAGGGAAAGGAATTGCAGCAACGACAATCAATGATTTAATACTCCTTAGGAGAAGGATCGAGTCGATTGTACTAAACTAAGGAACTAGAAAATTATAAACCAGAAGGTTGCAGTGGTTAGGAAACAAAAAAACCCGACATCCTAGTATCCATATTCATCATTATTATCATGATCTCGAACGCTTATTTACACCAATTACATGAAATACTGAAAACTCTAAAATGTCTGTACTTTAATAAGGAAGAACGATTTAAAAATAATAGTTAACTAAAGAATTACCTTATGTTTCTGTCATTGCGTGGTTGCATATTACATTAATGAAGTAAAACAATTTGCAAAACAAGGTTGACGTGTTTGTGTTCCACATAATGGAAATGGGGATGCCATGGCTCTTCCTAGGGAGCGAGTATGTAGAGGCAACACGATATATTTGTGA